TCTGTACACGAGTTTGAATTTAAAATTATAGTTACAAACTGATACATAGAAACTATGGTACAAATACTGCTGAGGGTAGGTGGGTGGCATTAAGTTGTACAGAGAGGAAAATCTAATATTAATATTACAAAAGGGCATATTTTTTCTGTGGTTTACAGCTAATGAGTTAACAGTCCAAAGGATAAGCAATTCAATCATATTTATATTACTATAGCACCAGAACTGTGTTTGGGCTGTTTCAACATATTCTCATTATCAGTTCGTATGAAATCGTACGAAAAGTTATGCACACTATTTTGTACGTTTTGGACGTTTTTCCTCAAAAACCCACATTAGTGCGCATGCGCTGGCAGAGAGAAAAAAAACCCAGAAAAACAGTGCAATCATCACTTATTCATGTCTCCAACTACGTTGCTTGCTGTTTTATATCTTAGGGTTATGGTCAGGGTTAGGGCTAATTGTAATTTATATTCTATGTTCGTGAATGGTGCTTCAGATATGCATGCGCATACACCGAAAAAAACGTCCAAAACGTACGAAATTACGGTGCATAACTTTTCGTACGATTTCATACGAACTCATAATGAGAATACACTGGCTGTTTTGATGCAGTTTAGCTTTTAAAGTTAGCAAAATAATTATTTTCACTTTAGCCTTCAACCTGTATTTCACATCCAGTTCCAACCAATCTATTTAAGGAAGTATCCTCTATGATTTCCTCCTTCATTTTAGATGTGATTTATCTATTCCTGTTACAGGGATATGTACCTCAGGCCTTTAAGGTAGCTGTAATTAAGCCTTCCCTTAGGAAACTGCCTCTTGATCCTTCTATTGATCACTTATAATAATAATTGAACTCTATTGATCTCACATTGGACAAATTTACCTCTGCAGTGGGCTGCCATCATGGGGTGCTCAGGGAGCAGTGTGGGGTAGAGGTTCTTGTTCAGAGAGCCAAAGTGGCAACCTGTGGGGCTAGAACTCCAAACCGCAGGATTCCAAGGTCTATGCCATATCCACCAGGCAGCCACTCTCCCCTAAAAGCAAGCAAGCATTTTTTTAAATAGTTTTTGTGTTTTTTCTTAAGGCTGCCAGCTAATGTGCCAGAGGTGCAGTCTGGGGTTAAGGGTCTTACTCAGAGAGCCAGAGTGGCAACCTGCGGGGCTCGAACTCAGAACCTCAGGATTCAAATATCTAACTTCAATTCAATTCAGTTTATTTATATAGCGCCAATTCACAACACAAGTCATCTCAAGGCACTTTACAGTTCACCATATCATTCAGTCAAATTGATTCAAAGTTTTCTATCTAAGGAAAACCAGTTGATTGCATTGACTCGTTGACTCAGATACAATCCCTCACACTAAGCATGTTTGCAGTGACAGTAGAGAGGAAAAACTCCCTTTTAACAGGAAGAAACCTCCAGCAGTACCAGGCTCAGTGTGAGCACTAACTACTAGGCTGCCACCTCCCCTTATAGACCTATATCTAAAATTTTAATCAAAGCAGTTGCTAATCACGTGGGTGAACACTTGCATCATAAAAATGTTTTTGAACAGTTTCAGTCTGCTGTCATCATAACATTGAAACAACACTGGCGAAAGTAACTAATGATATTCTCAGGGCCTCAGATAATAGATTTAAGGCAAATTCATTTTACTATAAAAACTGCTGTCTCACTCCCCCCTTGTACTTCTAAGCAGTGGCTTCTCTACCAGAGGCCTGGAAGATTGAGGGTACTTTGTAGTATCTTAGTTGTCCTTTGAACTCCACGCTATTGAACTGAGATCTCTGATGTTTCTGCAGGTGCTTGTTGGAGCCACTTCTCCAGTGTGGGGGTTACTGCCCCCAGTGCTATAATGACCACGGGCACTACAGTTGCCTGCACCTTCCTGGCTTGGTATTTTTTCAATTCCTCATTTTTTTTTCCTGATGTTTGCATTATTTTGGATGTCTGCTCATCAATGATCACAATGTCTGGTTGGTTGGCAACAACCATTTCATCTGTTTGGATCTCTAAGTCCCTCAGGATCTTAACTCTTTTATTCTCCAACATCTTGGGAGTTTGCTTTCATTTTGACCTGGGTGTTTCCAGGTTGCATTCTGCACAGATGTTTCTGTACACTAAACCAGCCACCTGGTATGGTGATCATGTATTCCTTTCCTGCCAATATCTTACATTGTTTGATTGTTTTTTGGGGCCTCTTTACAAAGCCTTCACCTGGGATCTTGCCTGGTATGGTAGATCTGGGCCTCTGTTTCTCTAGTCCTTGAGGCTGGTTCCTGTGCTGCCATGATCAGTGCTTCTGTGCTGTCCTTCAGCCCAGCCCTCTCTACATCTCCATGATGTATTCTTGGAGCTTGGATGTTTCATTGTCATTGGTGGCTCTGACACTAACTAGGCCTATGTCTCTGTCTTTGTGCTCAGTATATAGTTTGTGGATAATGGAATAGAAGTGGAATCCACCATGCATGGTGAGTAGTTTCCCTGTTTTAACATCAGTAGCCGGAATTTCCTCCCTAGGCAAACTTATTATTTGGTCTTATTATTGGTCTTATTAACTTAATATTATTATCAACTTATTGTTGATTGCCTGAACCTTGTTCTTTCCATAGAGCTGATTTCTAGGAATTGGCCTTACTTGTTGCAGCTATTTGGCTGTTGCAGCTTTCTTTGTAGCCTCTTTTGGTTGCCATTTGCCTCTGGTATTCCAAGGTACTTGTTGATATCTTCTACATCTGCTATTCCGCATTCTGGAAGTATGATCCCCTCTGTGTGGAATACCTTCCCTCTCCTTGTCCCCATTCGGCCACATTTCTCCAGACATTCTGACGTCCCTGCTTATGATTCTGGTGGTGTGGATCAGCGAGTCAATGACTCGTTCTATTAGCATACAGCTTGATCTCCGATAATAAAGTAAAAAACTTTGCTGTTATTTCTGATCAGGAACTTTCATTTAAATCTGATATTCAACAGGTTTCTAGATTTCCTTCTTTAATCCCGGGAGTACTGCTACAATCAGCAATATCTTGTCCATGGGTGATGTTGAGAATCTAGTCCATGCATTTGCTACTTTAAAGCTGGACCATTGTAATTTTTTACTGTCCGGAAGTCAACAAACTGTAATTAAAAGCCTGCAGTTTCCCCTATTTTTCCTTCCCTGAATTACTTTTCTTCTAAATATGAATTAAGTAATTATTTCATAGTTTATTTACCTATTGTATTCTAGCATAGTAGTATGGAAACGAAAAGCAAACTAAACCCCTTTCAAGAATTCAGGACTCTTCAAAAGCCTGCGATTAACCAGGAAACCAGTCAGTTTAAAGTATTTGTACCAAATTATCATTATTATTATTAAGTACACTAATCAAAGTGTCAGCTGTAATTCCGTCAGTAGTTTATAGAGTTTATAGACTCTGTTAGTGAGGGTGTATGTGTGTAACTGAGCCTTGAATACTTGCTATCAGTGTATCAACCCTCCAGACCACTCAGGTCTTCTGGCTCCAGCCTGCTCTGCATACCTAGAACCAGAACTAAACATGGAGAAGCAGCATTTAGTTCCTATGCTCCACTTATCTGGAACAAACTTCCAGAAAAGTGTAAAAGTGCGGAAAGTCTGAGTTCCTTTAAATCAAGACTGAAAATTGTTTAGGATTGCCTTCGACTGTTCTAGTTAAACAGTTCAACTAAAACATATTTTCTTTAAATTAATCATTTCAAAAGCATTACCATTAGTATAATAATAAAGAATATACATACAAATAATTAGAAATCAAATACTGGAAAATTAGCCCAAACAAAGTCCTCTTCTTCTCCATAAAAAAAAAATCATCCAATAAATAAATGTAATCTAACAAAAACTTCCAACTGTTTTTAATATTCTTTTTTTGTTTATGCATTTTTTATTTTATTTATTTTTTATTTATTTATTTTTATTTTTATTTTTTCCTACTTGCTTTGATTCTGTTTTATCTTCCTGTATTTTAATCATGTAAAGCACTTTGCATTGTCTTTGTACTGAATTGTGCTATACAAATAAATTTGCCTTGCCTTGCCTTGCCTTGCCTTGCCTTGATGTAAAATTTGAACCATGAGATGGAAAAAAGGGGGAAAAAAACAATAAATTCAAAGTTATAAACCCAATTCTTATGCTCACTAAATTTGAAAAATGCATCATTAAAGGTACGCAGATGATGAAGGAAAAATACATTCTTTTTTTCCCGAAATGTGTAAGCAGGTGCATGTGGTTTGAAAGAGTATTATACAAGGTGGATGGGGGAAGGTGAACATGAATAGGTATTTCACTTTCTGTACATGGGTGTATAGATGTTTTTTTAATGGTTGTGGTCATGTGGGTAATAATTGTATGAATGAAGATGTATGTGGGCACATGTGAATGTGTAAATGTATGTTTATATGTCGAGAAATAAATTTATCGGCTCACTTAATGGACTAGAATAGAGGTAAAGAAGAATCGAGATGATCGTTGATGTTAAAGACTAAATGACGGAGATGTTATATGATTAAAAAGTTACAGACCTCGTTTCAGTCATAAACACTGAATTATAAATAAAAAGGAATTATATATATAATTTATTATGCATAATGTCTGTATGTGCTAAATGTATATACTGGAATGTCTGAAATACATTAACTTCTTCATTTATTATATATTGTTAAAGGTAAAAAAAACATGAGAAGAAAAACAATATTTTCTTCTTTGTTACAGAACTCAGCAGCCAAGTGTGACTCTTCCCAGCCCCCATGCACTTTAGATTTTCCATCCAAATGGACTTCTTTTGTATTTCCCCTCCTCCCTAACCCCAAAGAGACACACACACACACACAGACTTAATATCATTATTAGAGGTGGACATCTAATTTTAAATGGGACAATCCACTGCTCTATATGCATGTTACAGAAATGACGTGTACATCCAAAAAGGCTTCCTCACACTTTGACCTTTCCCATGTTGTTTTCTTCTTTTGTCTTTTCCAGTCGACTTTCTGGCAAAGTATTGCATTTTCAGTCAGGAGAAGTTGGAGGAGTACAAAAGGGCTTTTGAAGCAGTAAGTGAAGGGCGATTTAAACCCTTTTTGTTCTTTCTCTTTCAGGAGATTCTGTTTCACTCATTGGTATGTGTTGCTCTTCCAGTCACAGAGAAGGTGTGGAGTCTGCAGACGAATTGAACCTATTCACCTTTCACAAAACGCAAAACACAAAACAACACAAACTTCAGTGTTTGGTTGTTTTTACCTCTTTTTTAATTAGATGCCTCTAAATAAAATCACTTCAAAAATTGTCTAGTTTGTAGCGTTAACCTGCATATAATTTTATTTCATTATTAATTCAGATTTTCAATTGTGGCCTCATTCTACAATCTGATAATAGAAAGAGTTTAAAAAAAAAACTTTAAGCCTACAAAGACATGAGTCCATCTGGATTTGCAGGATGCCCAGAAGAAAGTAAATCAAGTTGGCCGACAAGTAAATCTTAACCAGTTAACTGGCTAAACTAAAATCACCAAAAATGATTTTGAATCAATGTGAATCAATTAATCATAAATGTTTTATTAAATCCAAAGGCAAATTAAATATTGGAGTAACTCATACGTTATCTTTTAAAACGATGTTTTAGTTCATACCAAAAAGTTTTTTTTTTTTTAAAACAATCCACTGGATTTAGTTATACTTTTGCTATTTATATTTCATTTAAAAAGTTTTATTTTTTTAAGTTGAAACATGTTAATTAAGGGATGTTAATTTACTAAAAGTATTACCATACCATACCAACTTTATTTATGAAGCACTTTATACACCGAACAGGACCAAAGTGCTGTACACAATCATAAAATACAATAAAATTATAAAATAGAGAAAAAACGAGTGTAAAATACATATTAGTATACAAAAATAATAAAACAAAGTAAAACCTCTCAAATTGTGCCAAAAGCCAAGGAAAAAAGATGAGTCTTAAGAAGGGACTTAAAAACAGCAAGAGAAGAGGCCTGTCTTATGCTCAGAGGCAGATCATTCCACAGCTTAGGAGCTGCCACAGAAAAAGCACGGTCTCCTCTGAGCTGCATTTTGTCTTTGGGACCCTCAGAAGCAACTGATCAGCTGACCTGAGGGAACGGGAGGGTGTATAAGAATGTAACAGCTCAGACAGATAAGAAGGAGCAAGGCCATTAAGAGTTTTAAAAACAAATAAAAGAATTTTAAAATTAATCCTAAAATGTACTGGCAGCCAGTGTAAGGAAGCTAAAACAGGGGAAATGTGGTCGAATTTTCGTGTACCTGTTAAAAGACGTGCAGCAGCATTTTTAACCCTCTGAAGATGAGAAATATACAAGTCACTGACCCCTGTATAAAGTAAGTTACAGTAATCCAGCCGTGTGGTCACAAATGCATGTATCACTGTTTCAAAATGCTGTCTGGAAAGAATGGGTTTTACTTTTGCTAGCTGCCTGAAGTGGAAAAAGCTGGACTTTATAACGGCTCTGATGTGCGCTTCCATTTTAAGACCAGCATCCATCTTAACCCCTAAATTTGTAATAACCGGCTTAACGTACTGAGCCAAGGAGCCAAGACTGGTCACGGAATCAGCAGTGGATCTGCCAAAGATCATTACGTCCGTCTTGTCCTCATTGAGTTTTAAAAAATTTAGGGCCACCCAGGCCTTCACATCTTCAAGACATAAAAACAGAGACCAAAGAGAGGTGGAGTTTACATTCTTTAGCGGTAAGTATATCTGTGTGTCATCTGCATAGCAGTGAAAGGCAATCCCATGTTTTCTGAAAATAGAGCCGAGCGGAAGAAGGTAAAGTGAGAAAAGGAGCGGGCCTAGAACTGAGCCCTGTGGGACACCACACGACAGTGGAGCAGAGGGGGACCTATGGCCATCAAGACAGACACAAAAAGTACGTTCAGCCAAATATGATCTAAACCAATCTAGAGCTATGTGACCGACGCCCACCCACTGTTCCAGATGGGAAAGTAAAATGACATGATCAACTGTGTCAAAAGCAGATGATAAATCCAACAGCACCAAAACAACAACGTCACCTGAATCAGTTGCTAAAAGTATATCATTAAAAACTTTTAAAAGGGCTGACTCTGTGCCATGAAATGGTTTAAAACCGGACTGAAAAACCTCTAATATATTATGTTCATTAAGATAGGCCATTAGCTGATTACAGACTACCTTCTCAAGAATTTTTGAAATAAAAGGCAATTTAGAGATAGGTCGATAATTTGCCAGAACAGTAGGATCCAAAGCTGGTTTCTTAAGTAGAGGCTGCAGATCTGCATGCTTCAGAGCTTTAGGAACAACGCCTGAGGACAAGCTACTATTTACAAGAGCAAGGACAGAAGGACCTATAGCAGAGAAAGCTTCTTTAAATAATTGGGGCGAAATAACATCATCTGGAGAACCAGTTGGCCTTAAGTGATTAACCACCTCCTGCAATAATTGCAAGTTCACACATTCAAAGCTGTGGAAAACACCAGAACAAGGTGTTTCTCTCTATTTCTCTTTAGAATAATCGATTTATTGTAAAAAAAAAAAAAAAATACTTGATTATTTTATATAATGGTATAAATGCATTCGTTTGTTTTTGTTGCTCTTTTCAGGTCCCACTTGAAGAAAAAGGTTTTGATTTTAATTAGGCTTTAAATAACTCACACTGTGAGAAAATTAGGGCAGGCAGACAAGCTCCGAGCCAGCTCCCATGCCAGAGGATGAAGAGGGCACATCCACTCAGTCACGGTCAGAGAAACAGGACTACACTGGAAAACAGGCCGATCTCCAGCATCTGTTAACAAGGGTGTTGATGGAAGCAGCACAGCTGATGTTTCTTTCCAGGATGGAGTCACAGCCAAACAGGAACAGATGAGGCAAAGCTACTCTGAGGAAAAGCAGAGAGAGCATAACGTTAGAGATTGAGCTAACAGAATTTTGCAGAATAGGAGAATAGAGAGAGAATGAAGCAAATGGGGGGTCCCATATAAAATGATATGGCCTTTTGGTAGATTTAGGTAAAAGGTACCGTAGTAGGTCATATTTTCTTAAAATAAGTGTTTATTTGTTTTCTTAAATTGCATAGGTATATTGGACACATTTACATTGGATTAAAACAATTTACATGTAAAATGAGAGCAAAACAGCTGCAGGCTCTTATTTCAATTCAATTCAGTTTATTTCTATAGCGCCAATTCACAACACATGTCATCTCAAGGCACTTTACAGTTCACCAGTTAATCTAGTCATATTGATTCAAAGTTTTCTATCTAAGGGAAACCAGTTGATTGCATCAACTCATTGCTCGAATGCAATTCCTCACACTAAGCATGCTTGTAGCGACAGTGGAGAGGAAAAAATCCCTATTAACAGGAAGAAACCTCCAGCAGAACCAGGCTCAGTGTGAGCGGACATCTGTAGAGGCAGACTTTCAATTGCGTAGTATACAAATATTTAATTTTAAGGGTGAAAACTCTCCTTCAAGTGGCAGATCCCACCTCCCAGCAGCTGTAAGACTTTATAACCATCGATGTTAAAAACAACCTCAATATGTTCTTACACTGAGGCTGATATTTGCAGTTTCTGCCTTAGTAAAAAATGCTGCTTTCATTTTTTGCACATCTCTGGTGTTGCTGCTATTGATTATCAATTCACCAGATACAGAGTATTTATATTGTAAAAACACTGTACAGTACAGCATTTTATTTATTTTCTTAACTCTGTCACTTATTGTTATTTTTATACACTTTTCCAAGGTCCACATTATGTGACTACTTTTGCTATAACCGTTGGCTGCTGTAACATCACAATTACCCCATTTTGGGACAAAAAAGGGATTTATTTTTTATAATTTACCATAGATCATCTCCTTAATTAAGGGTAAATACACTCATTTTGAGATATTTTTACTAATTTATAGATTTGCTTTACAGTATTTAAAGTAATCAGCATAATTTTTTCCTTTTATCACCCCTTTATATCCCCATGGTGGCTCGTTTCAATAAAACCAACAGACATGTATGAGGAGTTTGGTGTTTGTTTACAGGAGGACAACGACGAGGATGGCTACCTCTCCTGCCTGCAGGTTCTCCTCGCCCTCAAAACCATCATTCCTCCTGAGCTGCTGTCCGAAAAAGAAGAGATCTACGTCTACAGGGTAGATGAGAGCCCTGATCACATGCATTCCAGCAGTTTTTCACACCATCCTATAACATGAACGCTGTGATTCAGATCCTGGAGATGGTGGACTTCAGAGTGACAGACGGACTCGTGGACCTGAGGCTGTTTGCTGTGATTGCGAGTCTGGCACAGAAAATAGCCTCCATGGAGTAAGTGAAAAAGGCAAACACCATCTTCAGTAAAGCTGGGGGAAGAGTCAGTGTCACTGCCATAAATAAGAAAGGGAGAGTGTATGCATCTCTGTTTCACTGATTCTAGCATCATGTGTGGGACTCTTTGATTCTTTTTCATTTTTTCTTTCCTTTTCTTTAGGCTACATTAGAGGTCAAGGCTTTAAAAAAACTATTTCACTTCATTCTATGTGCAGAACCAGTCATTGAAATCATAAATCATTTGGACACTCTGTGTCAAAGCAATAAAATCTTAACAGAACGACGAGCTTCTATCAGCATGAATTACATGCAGTGAAAGGTAGTGATATTAGTAAACCGATTAGACCACCTCTGAATGAAATGTGTTTAAATCGAGGATCGATGTCTGCTTGAAATTTGTTTCATATAAAAAGTGGAAATCTTTTTATTAACTATGTAGAGTTTGCTCTACAAAGCATCAATTTAGTTATTTCTATAAGGGTGATATTAACTTGTTTTCTAAGAAACTGGGTAACGATGATAAACAAACAATGGCTAATTGCTAATCTTGCTTATGCTACCTCACACATGAGCGTGCATATAGATAAGTCAAATTCTTGCGTGTTCACTCTTGAAAAAATGAAGTGGTATTAATTTGTTCAAGCTTATTTAACTAATTTATTTTTGTATTAATTTAACTTTTCTATTCTAAAGAAAGACTATTTCAAAGGGATTGTATGTCTAAAATATTAGGTTATGAATGCTTTAAAGGTTTACTCTTTGAAACGAAAAGAGAAAAAAAGAAAGATAAAGAAACTCCAACCCTAGATTTTTTTTTCTTTTTTATTGATATGGGAAAAATACTTTGGTATAATATTTTTTTGCACAAAAGACAGACTTTTTGGAATGCCTGCTTGTAATATTTTTTGTTGAACCCGTTTGGTGAATGGGGCAACTTTTCTCTTTATACATATCTCCACTCTTCAGATGAGATGGCCATAGAAGGAGGTTATATTTTATGGTTTACCATTTCTTTGTTCATAGAAACATATCTTTTGGATCACTTTTCTGCTCAAAGATCAGATAGTTCAGATAAACAGCCCATAGCATCACCAGCCTCCTCTTTACTGAACAGAGTGGCATGGAGGGCTTTTCTACATATAAAAACTTTTTTTTTTTTTTTTACATCAGATTTCTCTAGATATTCAATCTCAGCCTCATCTGACTAAATCACTTGTCCCAGTTCAAGTCCCAGTAGAGTTTAATTAGCTTATCATGCTTGACAGAAAAGGCTGACTAACTAATTTTTTTTTTACCAAAGAAATACTTTGATTTTCTTGTCGTTTACTACTTTAAAAAGGGGCTAAAGAGAAAAAAAGCTTTAGAATTGCATCATATTCATTTGTCAGGAAAAAGGGAAGCATCGTTAATGATGAAGGGTGCGAATGAGTGATAGCAGTCAAATAATAATATTGTTGTGGCCCCTAAAAATAAATATATTCAAATTAAAGTTTTGTAAATTGTCAGATTATATGAAAGTAAAGTTAAATATATTGTGTGAAATTCTATTTCACACAATATATTTTATTAATTGTCATTTTTATTCAAATAAACCACAACACACATAAAGTAAAACACTATCCCACCAAAATAAAACATCTGAATAAATAAATAAATAAATAAATAGACATCTTCATAAAACTGTTTTGGATATCTACTGATCCAGTTAACAACTTTCCTGAAATTTGGGAATTTGAGGAGTGGAAAAATGGTTTAAAAAAAAAAATTAATAAAAAAAATAAACTGAAAACTTTCAGGCTTTTGAGAACAGTTGCAGCTACTGTAGCTCTAAAGACAGTTGGATAACATAAACATCTGATAGCATTTCATTCTTAAACTAATGGCAAATTAAGAATGGGATGTGTGAAGAAAGACACAGAAAACATTTGACGTTTTGGTTGTTTTCTATCCATCTAGATGAGTCTTAATCTTAAGGGGTTTATTTCGACAGCAAAAGGAAAAGATATGCAAACCTGATCGAAATAAAGTAGTTAAAATAGGTAAACTTGAAAGCAGACCACTTCAGGAGATCAAGCCTAAGGCCTGGATGCATGAATGAGAAAAATATAAATTACTAATTAAAGTTCTCCTTTCTTGTCATCAACATTTTTAGTTTTTAGATGGAAGTGAACAGATATCTGCTGCTTTCACTTTATAGTTTTGAGTTGTTCAGATGTTACTCAAACATTCTGTTTCTCCGATATTCTAAGAAAAGCACTTCGAGGGAATCAGCTTTGAAAAGGCTGAACTCTTCTGGGGCAAACTTTGGCCTCAGCGTCCCTGTGTCCCAACGTTATGCTCCATATGCCACAGATTCCCACACACAGCGTTTTGTTTTTCCTTGTCCTCGCCCCGGGGTCTAAGGCTTCCTACAGACAGGAGCAAGTGGAGCCAAGCTCACTGTGGAGGTCTTTGGAGGTCAAGGCCTGCACCCGAAGCCCTCACCCTGGACTGAGAGCTGCCTCTCAGCGAGGCCGGGGCAGGGTCACGGGTCTCCTGATTTACGGCCAGTTCTTTGTGGCGTTCATTGGAGGAGGTCTGTAGGCTTACTGCTGCGCTGGCACTAAAAGACCAGGGTGTCTGCTCTGTGTGGAGGCAATTATCGTAATGATAATGAATGTTCGTATTAAACCTCTTTACACAAAAATCCTCTTTGCAATTTCAATAATAAGAAGGGATCCATCAGCGTGTAGAATGCCGTGTCCCAAACAAGGCGAAAACAAAAGCATCCCTCTGTCATCTCCTCCAAACTGAACTGAACTGATCCTCTTACCTGTTTCACTTAATCCTGTTGTCTCTAATCCTGCTTTAGAAATGAGCCGCTACAGTAGTTACACAATCAGCCGTTCTGATCATGTGGAGATCTGAGGAGGGGTGTCCCTGTTTTTGTTTCTGGCTATTTCAACTCTCATTTCTTTTATGTCTCCTCCTTTCTTCCCAGCTTTACCTGTCGCATGTCTTTCATGTCATGTCGCCTCCTGTTCACCTTTCTGTGCTCCTTGTGGCCCATCTGTCCCCGCGTTGCATTGTGCCCCTCACACGGCGTCACATTCCCTCAGGGCGCGTCACATGGTTTGGCAGGACATGATGCTTGCAAATACCATCAGTGGAGCCATCGTCGTTTGGCGTTACTGCAAGTCTTGTTGTTGCTGTTGAATGAATCAGCAAGCATTCATGTGGAATAACCGAGCTGCAAGCAGATAAACTTGGTAGAAAAGACCACATCTCTCTGTTTGGGTTAGGATTTTAACGGAACGAAAAGGAGGTAACCAAAAAAAAATGCCAAAACAGAAACATTTCTGGGTTCATATATATTCAGAGACATTTGAAGCAGTTACTGTTTGTGAGACAGTTTGACCATACAACAATGAACAAGCACTGTAAGGTCTCTAAAGACCTTTTATGAGTAAGTTTGATGGGGAGGAAATTGCCTAACTTGGACCCAAATGAATCTATTAGCACAGGATGGACAAACATTGTGGAAAACCCTCCCAAAGGGTTGAGAGCTGGATGTCCCTCCTATCTATGTGAGACGGCAGAAGAGGAAAAACTTCTTCCAATCATTTATTTGTCCAATGGGATAAAGTTTCTCTTTTTTTTTTTTTTACGTTCACCTTAAAAATGCTAAAGCTCTCTGATAGCTATGGGCATATGTTGATGGTATAAAATAAATAAAGAAAGTAAGAATGAGGAAACTATGGGTCTTTAATACCATGCAGTACTGCAACACACAAGAATAGAATCAAGATTTCCTTTGATAGTTCAGCCCTGTTTTGTTGCAGTCTTTCAGATTAAAAAACCCACATTATAAAACTACTAACATATTTTCTTCAAACCTAAAACATTAAATGAAAATCTATTTGTAGCCCTCTTCAGGCAATGCTACATATGTTGTTAGATTTAAATCTGGACTCTACTTAGGCCATTAGTTTTGTTTATAGGATTATTGATTAGGATAAGTGCTTGGGGCTGGTTAGTGGAGCACATTGGGTAGCACTGCTGCCTTGCAGCAAGAAGGTTCTGGGTTCAATTCCTGCCCCGGGGTCTTTCTGCATGGAGTTTGCATGTTCTCCCTGAGCATGCGTGGGTTCTCTCCGGGTACTCTGGCTTCCTCATACAGTCCAAAAACATGACTGTTAGGTTAATTGGCTTCTCTAAATTCTCCTTAGGTGTGAGTGTGTGCGTCTCCTGTTTGTCTCTGTGTTGCCCTGCGATGGACGGGCGACCTGTCCAGGGTGGACCCTGCCTTTCATCCGTAGACGGCTGCTTCTGTCTCCTTGAACTCCAGTCGGCCTCGGCAGATGGCCGCTCACACTGAGCCTGGTTCTGCTGGAGGTTTCGTCCTGTTAAAGGGGAGTTTTTCCTCTCCACTGTTGCTACAAGCATGCTTAGTGTGAGGGATTGTATTTGAGTCAATGCAATCAACTGGTTTTCCTTAGATACACAAACTTTGTATCAATTTGACTGTATGATCTGGTTGAACTGTAAAGTGCCTTGAGATGACATGTGTTGTGAATTTGGCGCTATATAAATAAACTGAATTGAATTGAGAGAAGCACCAGCACCCCTCGCAACCCTGCTTGGGATAAGCGTGACACAAATGTAATGGATAACTGCTTGATTTTTATTGTGATGATTTATTGTGATGATGGCAAATGAAAAACGAGCAAATTTTCCGACAATGATATGGGAATTTTAGACCGGCCTAAAAAAAGTACAACCCGACCAATATTTTTATAGTTTTTTCAGTATTTATTAGTTTGATCAGTTTTCATTCAGCTTTTTTTTTTTTTTTTTTTTTGGTAGTTTAATTAAAACATTAAGTGTTTCGGCACAACTGAGTAAAGCAGTGATATATATATAATAATAAAGGATTAAATTAACAAATTATATAAATATAGGGACATTTTTTACAGGATAGTTGAACTTTATATGTGGCTAATTGAATTAATTTATTATAACATCAACTCAAAAAGATATTTAAAAGCTCTTTTTGCAAATACTTGATTTCTAAACCTGATTGCCTTTTTTTGGCAGATTTGTGGAAAACATGTGTAGGTTGGGTTGGGTTGGGGGTGGTGGAGTCTAAGGCTCCAGGCACAAGCAAATAGAAAGAGATAAGTCCAGTAAAGACCCCTGGTTCCAGCTAGAAGATAAATAATTTTGATGTTTATCATCAATCCTGAAGTCAAATCCTTTCCTTGTTACATTTTTTTTAAAGTGTCTGAAGAAAAACCTCAGAAGCTCAAAAGAATTGCACTGATTTATCTCATGTAAATGTAAAGATCGCTCCTTGTTCCATTGAAACATTAGGAGTTTAATTTTGACCTTTTAGTTAAGTAGGAGCCATTTTGAGCCCCTCCTCATCCACTAGATTTCAACCAGCCCGCTTAAATATCCCCAAACAACTCCAAGCTTTGTCAGATCAAACTGGGTCAGAATCTGTTTGCATCACCGTCTGCAGGATCTGCAGTGAGTTAGCCGCCAAAATGTTGAGCTCAACATAAGTGAGAAGTCTTCTGTGTTGGCCACAGTGGGGGGCCAACAAAAGAAAATGGGTTAGGCTGTTATTATCCTCCCAGCAGTTCATCATCGCTGCTTCCCCCAAACCCTGGCTGGTTGGTTCTTGCCATTTACACGCCGGTGTGCTTGTGCACCAGGATTTGGACTCTTTTACTGCAAACGAAGTGCAATTAATAATCATTAGCTGCCCTGTCCTGCCTCATCCTCATCAAAGCTCGGACTGCTGCGTAGTTTGGAGGACAAGGTCCAATTGCAGTGCTGGAAGCACTCAGGCGTGCACTTGATGGCCTAGTGCTTGGCCATTCTTTGCTCTAACAGGCCATTGAGCGTTCAGCGAGGAGGGGCTCATTAACACCAGGAGCTCGTTAGAGATGGGATGACCGTCGCTGTGCCACACGCTGGACTGGAGAGGTCCGTCCCAACACAATCGCTCCACTCTGCCTCTAATTATCTATGTGGATCCAGATTTAGTCGGCCTGAAAGTGGTCACATTGCACCAAAGTGTGCTCGGACCGCTCATTCCTCTCCGCTCGAATCCCGCTCATCCTGCTGCTCCCCCCCCCCCCCCCCCCCCCCCCCACTCCACGCCCACTGTCCCCCAAATCAGTTTTATCCGTTAATGTGGCGGGATGTCTCAGTGTGCCGACGCATTGTTTGTCTGTGAGCAACCACAATGAACTCAAAACACTTTAGCATCACTGGTTGGCAAACAGGGGGTCACCGGGGAGTAACCCGCCAAAAATTACCCGCCATGGCATGACTTATATTTACAAACACTCCACTTAAAGGAATAGTACACCCAAAACACGATTAGCCTTCATTTTCTACTCACCCCCATGCTGAACAACACTCTGGAGTACTTTTTTGATATCTCAAATGCATCTGGAGATCTGGGAGGCTTCTTGATGTCTGCTGACATTCAAATAATGGAGGTCTATGGCGCCCGAGGCAGAAAGGTCCATAAAAGTCCACAAAAAATGTGTCAATATTCCTCCATACTGCTCGTCCAATGTATTCCAAGTGTCCTGAGTGGGTAGCATCCAGAATTTACTCGAAACGAAGTCATTTAGAATGTTTTTAGAGCATAAACAGTAGTGTATAGGATTTCCTAAAAGCGAGTTCACGAGTCTACGGAAACCGCGGCAGACCAAACCAGACGAAAGTGCGCATTCAGTGTCTGCTCTGCCGATAATGCAAGCGTAGAAGAAGAAATGTGCTGTTTACCTGTGCAAAGAAAGAAACAACGAAAGAAAAATGTCTGAGGACTTCAGTGTTGAGGAAGAGCATGAGTTCTTTGCCGAGTTGAATGCGCACTTTCATCTGGTTTGGTCTGCCGCGGTTTCCGTAGCGTCGTGAGCTCACAGGCGCGCCATCTAAATGACTTGCTCACAGGCAAGTCATTTAGAATGTTTTTAGAGCATAAACAGTAGTGTATAGGATTTCCTGAAAGCACACGCCTGTGAGCTCACGACGCTACGGAAACCGCGGCGGACCAAACCAGATGAAAGTGCGCATTCAGCTCGGTTAAGAACTCATGCTCTTCCTCAACACTGAAGTCCTCAGACATTTTTCTTTCGTTGTTTCTTTCTTTGCACAGGTAAACGGCACATTTCTTCTTCTACGCTTGCATTATCGGCAGAGCAGACGCTGAATGCGCACTTTCTTCCGGTTTGGTCTGCCGCGGTTTCCGTAGACTCGTGAACTCGCTTTTAGGAAATCCTATACACTACTGTTTATGCTCTAAAAACATTCTAAATGACTTCGTTTCGAGTAAATTCTGGATGCTACCCACTCAGGACACTTGGAATACATTGGACGAGCAGTATGGAGGAATATTGACACGTTTTTTGTGGACTTTTATGGACCTTTCTGCCTCGGGCGCCATAGACCTCCATTATTTGAATGTCAGCAGACATCAAGAAGCCTCCCAGATCTCCAGATGCATTTGAGATATCAAAAAAGTACTCCAGAGTGTTGTTCAGCATGGGGGTGAGTAGAAAATGAAGGCTAATCATGTTTTGGGTGTACTATTTCTTTAAAGAAGTCAGAAGTGTTGGTTTCCACAAATACCTTCTGTGTTTTCAAGAGAGCTTTTCCACAGTCAGGGCTTTGCATAATTTTAACAAACGTTTTTCTTTTTATTGACCAGTTAAGAAATACCATACAACAGATGGAAAATTGTGCATGGTTCATAACCTTTTTCCGCCCTGGTTAGATTAACAGGCTAATATAAAGGCAGAAACGACTAATTGCATTCAAAAGTAGTCTGTCTGTATTTTGATCACTGTATAAGTACATGGAAACTAACTAATGGCTTCAAGGTCAGACATCTTCACCTCGTCAGAAACTTCTCAAACCAGGACTGTGTATAGAATTTCAGTGGGTCACTGTCCTCCATGTTTTGGGTCTTTCCCTGTGCCAGCGCTCCAGACTTGATCAAAGAATGATCAACTGTTTTCTCCAGAACTTGAACTAAAGCTAAGGAGAAAATCCAACCACTGTGATCACTTTTCAAAGAGAAGAGAAGCATATAAAACATAAAGGCCATTCAGGACCAGAGAGAAGAAATGTTGAAATAAAGCAAAGCAACACAAAAAGTTGAAAATGTGTTAGAATGGCCTAATCAAAGCAAAGACCAAGAGAGTTTTAGTCAAATTTCTAAAATCAACGTCCGCACCACCTTCCCTTCTGTCTGACTGAGATGAATCTAGTGTCAAAGACTCTATTATAAACTTTATTTTTTACATGAAGACATGTAAAATACTCCAGTTAAAAAGCTCCCATAGATCTCCTCCCTCATTTGCACATAAGACATTTTGAAGATATGTCACGTCTTCTCTAAATTATATTTTTTAAGCTTCTGTTCGACTTAGTTATACTTTCCTCTCTCTTCCAGCGAGTTTATGCGATCACTGATCAGCAACATGGACCTCCGCTCCCTTGAAGTGCGTCTCTTTAAAGCAAAGGTATTGACACCCTCAAGTCCGTCCTTTCCACTTGTTTGTGCTCTTGAACTTGATAACACAACAACACCTCAGATTGACATTCATGCCTCAGACATCACCTCCCGGTTCACCTTAGCCTCACTCCTGTGGCTCTGCTGGTACAGTTGCAATAAGACAAGCAGGCTGACTCTTTAAAGAGCGATCTGAAAGCGTTTTTCTGGAGAGCCACTCGGCCCTCATGCATGGAAATGAGGGAAACAAGCAAGGGAAGGGAAGAGGGGCGCTTTTCCTTTTTCATAGATTAGCACGGACTTATTCTCATTAAAGTGCCCAGCAGTGAACATGCCGTCCACTCCGCCCCAGCCTGTAATCAGCCTCAGACACACGGCTCTCCTTGGATGGACTGGGACGAGCCAATACCAGCTGTCTATGGGAGAGTGAGGAGGTAGCAGGCAACTCAAAGGCTGGCGGAACATGAAAGCCTGTGGGTGTGGAAAACTGAGCCCCAGACCAGGTAGGGGAGGCTTTGTAATTACAGAGCTGTTAGGGATAGGGTTGTTAACTGGAGAGGCTGCTGGGGGAGGCTGTGGGCTAATTACCAGAAGGACTATTCCCTGTCCCCGCCCTCTGCTCAACAATTATTACCTAGACTGCATTAACTGTGCAAACAGGTGCGCCAAACAGGACTGTGGTAATCTGAGGCCGCTATACAATAACACACAGGAGCATATTCGCACAGCAAACAGCAGGGAGAGAAGATCCAGATCCAGTTTTCCATATTTTAGGTTCATTTTAAACCACAACTAAACCTCTGAAGGAAAACTGGAAGTAAAACCCCAAAAAGAACCAGAGTTTTAATGTAAAATCCGTATTCTGAACTCTGCAGCAGCTGTTCCTGTTACTCCTGGAGGACCAGCAGGACGTGTCTGGAGCTCAGCAGGGCTTCATCAGCAGGGAGCAGCTCTTTCTGGAGCTGAAGGCTGGAGGTATCCATATGGAGCAGGAGGCGGCCATCAGGATGGAGCTGCAGCGCATTCCCCCACTAGATCTGCTGGACTTCCTGGCCTACCTGCCTCTTTTCATGCTCATCCACAAGTCTGTGATCTCCAACCCGCTCGATAACTCCAGCCACCTCTGAGCTCCGCAGCTGCATGTTAAACTGAAGGCATTACCATGCTGGTTTTATATTACAGTGAAGAATATATAACGAGCTGGATCTGCTGCTGGCTGAAGTGTTCCCAAATACAAAATGCTAAAGGTGCAGTTTTGTACAGTGTTTGTTAAGAAAGTGAAACTTTAATTTAGTTTAATTTCTCATTTATTTAGTTTAAGACTTGGACAAGTCCTAAGACTAATAAAAGTTTATGTTAAAAGACATTCATCCCACTTTTTCATATGATATCAGTCAATAGTAAAGACAGAACTTTGATCTTTGGCTTAAAACTAAATGTAAAAATGTCTGATTTCAATGCAAACAGCAGGTGTTTATAAATCCTGCCTGGGAAGTTGTTTGAGAATCCAAGAATTTTCACAATCTTTTGTTTCAAAACATTTATAAAAGGATTTATTTTGTTTAAATTGAGCTATATTAATCCATCCATCATCCATTCATCTGTTGTTCTTCTGGCCCTTTTCAACTTATATATCCATAAAGAGTCCCTCCATCATTGCATCAATCCAATGCCCATTATTAGTCTATCTTGGCATCCATCTACATAGTCTGTTATCCATCTCTGTCACATCAACGGACCAACAATCTATCCACTGTATGTCAATAAATCCATGTTTACCAAAATGTAGGACATTTTAAAGAAAAAAAGCATATTTGGAAGTTAGATCTCAAGACATCAATCAATTTAAATGAGGACAACTTCGGAACAGGAGAAAACTAAAGGCTGTTCTACGACCATTGTTCCAAATTGTATGTTATAAACTCTTCTGAATAAATACAGGCTATACTCAAATATTAGGTTGAGTTTATATCTGTTTTTCAGTGGTGTCAAAAGTATACATACATTTCTTACTTAAGTAGAAGTATAGATACTGCAGTTTAAAAACACTCTGGTAAAAGTTGAAGTATCAACTTGACCTCTTTACTCAAGTAAAAGTGAACAAGTATGTGCTACAAAAACTACTTAAAGTATAAAAGTATGAAGTAACCTTTAAAAAAAAAACAGCCAAATGCCGCCACTCGTGGGGCGACAGTGGCGTCGGATGTAGGAGTTTGCCCTGAAATCGAAGGGTTGACGGTTCAAGCCTTGGCTCCAACTTTCAGTGTCGTTGTGTCCTTGGGCAAGACACTTCACCTGCATTGTCTACTGATGGTGGTCAGAGGGCCAGGTGGCGCCAGTGTATGGCAGCCCCACTACTGTCAGTGTGCCCCAGGGTAGCTGTGGCTACAATGTAGCTTGCCACCATTAGTGTGTGAGTGTGTGCGTGAATGCGTGAATCCGACATTGTAGCATGGTATAGATAATTCACGTTAGCAGTTTGAAGAACACCTGCTTGCTTCTGATGATTTCCTTTAGCTAACCAATGATTGTTTGCGTTACATGACTCATCCAGTTACACCAGTTTTCAATAGATGTGGATGGCGCCAATGATCTGCATTGGTTGGCGCACATGACGTGGGGAAAAAAAATCATAGACATTAAACTAAAGCCAAGAGTAACGAGTAACGTTTGTTTAAAAAAAAATTAAGGAATAGAAAATACAGATACTTGTGTAAATATGTAAATAGTAGAAGTCAGAAATAGGAAGAAAAATAAGTAATGGAGTAAAGTATAGATAAATAAAACGTGTACTTAAGTACAGTACTGAAGTATTTGTACTTCGTTACTTGACACCTCTGCTGTTTATATATATATGTATATATATATATATATATATATATATATATATATATATATATATATATATATATATATATATATATATATATATATTACTAGACCTACTACTATAAAACATAATGCACCTTATCAACACGTTTTATCTAACGTTTAAAACAGAAAGTTGAAAAGCACTTGTCCATAGACACACAGAAGCGTTTTGTTTTTTATCTCCAGGTAGTGGCTGTGTTCAGAGACCAGCTTCTGCTGTCAGGACTGGAGGCACACGCCGTCAGTCAGCTCAGCACTGTGTCTCCACTCCACCGCCATCCAGAGCCCATTCACTCATTACAGCGGACACGCGTCCTGGCTGCGGCCTCCGCCCTGCCTGTCAAACTCAGTTGTCCCGAAACGCACAGACCACCTAACTAACTGAACCCCCACCTAACCTCCCACCGCCTCCATCTGCGGACTGCAGGCGACCTTCTTTCCCTCCTTTTATGGCCGCTGTTGGATTTCAGCAATTGGAATAACAGGATGTTAGATTATTTTAGCCTAAAGTTGGGTTTTCTGATGAATAATGGAATATTTTGCAACGATACACTGCCTAAAGCATTCAGAATAACAGCGATAATTATGTTTATAGGCTATTTAAAAATACTTTTTTCACATGATTTTATAACATCCCGAATTGTGTTGGATCAAAATATCTTATATTATTTTATATATATTATTATTAAGGAGGCTGTTGTTTTTGTGCAGATGTGTTGCTAAAGACAAACAAGATTTGAGATGGAGGAACAAAAAGTTTTTTACTAAATGGTTTGAAATGTTTTCTCTTGGAAAGTAAAAGGAAACCTGCGCCATTGCGTGTTTTTTATTGGAAATGTTTAAAAAGTCTGTGCTTTTGTGTTTTGTTTTTTTTATTATTATTCGGGGGGGGGGGGGGGGGGGGGGGATTTCCATTCATGTTTCTTGCATTCTCCCATTCACTGGTTGCTTAAGGACAAAACTATGTCTACAAAGGGGCAAAGCTGTCCGTAAAAATGTTTTTCTCTTCTAATAAAAGGTCAGTTGTGGACCCCTTTGAGTTTACAACAGATTTTATTTCGTTTTGCCTTTGTTTTAGTTACTCACTATAGCCTACTTATCTCTGAATTTCTGAAGCCTTCACTATTGCTTTCCTGCCTCGAAAATCAAAAAAAAAGTTGTGCGTAAAGTGTGCGTTATTTTGCGCACAAGTTTCTCCTCAAACGAAGTCCAATCCTTGCTCCTCCTCTTGTCGATCCCTCCTTTCCATTTTTTTTTCTCTTCGTATAATTCCTGGCCTCCAATACTTTTACTTTTTTCTACCCAACCCTCTATGTGCATAACTTTGTATGAAGGGTAAGTTAAAAACAGAGGCCAAGCTTGGTCTTTTCTCCTTGTACCTGATATGTTTGGGTTTTACTCACTTAATGACCCCTTAATGAGCTTTAATTGTATCACGCCCACCAACCTAAAGTCATAAAATAGTGCGCAACAGTTTGCGCAAAAGTAAAACATAAAACAATCCCTTTTGTACTAATGCGATTCTTTTTTTATTCTCTTTATATAGTTATTAATTAAGTTTTCACAAAGACTAAGAGCCATTTTTAATACACCAAACAAATAAGACATCAAAGAAATTCAGTAAATCTCTTTATTAATGGACTAGATTGTAGAAAATATGGATATAACAATTATTTAACATCTGCTTGTGAATAGAAAATAAAGAGCTGGCAGTATAAAGACACAATGCATGGCTATTGCACTCTCTTTTTGGACAATAGCTGCATAAGTTTGATCATCGTGACATGATATAATGCAATAACATGGTTTTGCTGTTAAATAAGACACATTGGTGCTATATAATAAAAAACATCGGAGTGTCAAACCCCTGCTGGAAACCTCGTGAACAGAAGAGCCAGAGAATAATAGACCACGTCAACGTTGGCAGGAGGTATTAGAAATAACTTCGCAATATATAGACAAAATATATACAAAAATGATGTGTACAAAACATCTATTAATCTCTTACATACAAAAATATCTTAATATATTCCCAAAACGTCTGATATAGAATTTAATAGAATAAATCCACGACTTGGAAGCATTTGAACTCAATTCAGCTTCTAAGAGTTTAACCAAAAAAGGCTTGATGTGATTGGATTAGCATAGATGAAGAGCGGCGTATTAAATAATGTTTTTGTTTTCTGAAGAGCATGAATTCACGTTAGGGTCTTTTTTTTTTATTAGATGCACAGGAACTGAGGTTTTCCCACACTGTCTCCTTCAATCCTTTGGCGCTTTTTTGCAAAGTTCTCAGGACTTTGCGGACTTTTCAGTCAGTCTGTGAGGACGCAGGATTTAAACAGCGCATCTTGTTCTCCTCCAGGGGCCATCCCTAGCACCGGACAACAGCAGGATGAGTTGATCCGTAATTCTGAGAGAAAGAATGAAAGAAAGTTAGAAAAGAGTTTTAAAAGAAAAAACAACTTTTATTGTTTTAGAAATAATTGCCTCATCTTACCTCAGAGATGCTCAGAACCAGTTGGTGAAGTCCAGCAGCTCCTGCTCCTCCGGACTCAGCGGGTCATAGGAGCCCTCATCGGATGAATAGGAGGACATGGGTGACCCTGCCATGGAGTTCATGTCCGCAGAGTATCCCTGCGACATGCTGGGCGACAGGACGCCGGACTGGAAGGCCGCGCTCACCGCGTCGTGCTCGTCCAGAAGCTGCTGCAAGGCGCGGATGTACTCCACCGCGGAGCGCAGCGTCTCCACTTTGCTCATCTTCTTGTTGGCGGCGCCGTTCGGGACGTGCTCCCTCAGCGTGGCGAAGCCGTTGTTGACCAGCTTTACCCTGTTGCGCTCCCGCTCGTTCCTGCGCGCCACCGCGTGCGGCTGCTGTTGCGGGAGCGTGTAGCCGAACCCCGCGAAGTTCAGCCGCCGCTTGCAGCGCAGCAGCTCCGGTGAAGAGGAGCGCTGGCGCTTGGGCTGCTTGGACTTCCCGCTGCTGCTGCTCCCGCTGCTGGGGCTCAGCTGGATGCTCTGCGCCGAAAAGTAGCAGGAAGAAGGAATCAGCTGCTGCTCACTGACGTTAATTTCCATTTTCGCTGTAATGTCCATCTCCAGAAAGTTCGGTAATCGGTCAAACTTTAAGTCTCCTGGCGGTGCGTCCCGCTCGTGCCGTTCACGTGGTTCGACCGCACTTGCTCCAGTGGGGGCAGTCTGCCTCTGAGAGCTGAAATGTGTCCTGGAAGAGAGACACCACTGCTTTTCAATGCGTTGGGATGAGGGCTGGCCACGCCCACTGGTCGCGTGGATACACCTTGGGCTCCTGCGTTGGGTACCGGTGCGTCGCGCGCGCCTGACGCGTGCCACTTCAAGTACTAAACAAACAGCGGTGGAGAGGTTTGTTTCTTGGCAGGAGGCGAAACGAAGGAAACCTTTTCACAAAAACAACAGTTTGTGTTTTGAATGTGAGACTTTTCTTCATTTTGAAGGATGTCCATAAAAAGCTTTTTAAAGGAAAGATTGTGATGATGAGCAGGTGTCCATGAAAAGTCTGCGCATCAGAAACCTATTGAAATGTTTAAGTTATAAGGAATAGTTAAAAATGTATCAACACCAGATACTAATTTCCTTTTATAAAAGTATTAAATGTCAAAAATGTAAACATATTTGAAAAGTTAATTTGTTTCATTTAATTCAGAAGAGACTAATTCAAAAGATTAGGTCATTTTAGGATTCTCTGTATTATTTATGGCTTTTTTAATTTAACCAAAATCAAAAATCACAGTATTTGATATCCTATAACACCAAAGTATTTCGTCCTTTAAAAACCTCGGGGTGTCTACTGATCTGACTGTCCTTTACACCCCCCATTAGGAGGGTTTCCTTGTTTCAAGACTTTGTTTTTTGACAGATGATGTAAAGGTATCTTAAACGAGTAAGAAGAAAAATGTCTCAACTGTTTTCCTCCATTTAAATTTTAATTTCATGTGGAAATTAAAGATCCAGAATAACGAGGGACAGTAAGAAGAAAAGGAATCCATGTTGTTTGAGGTTCAGCAAGTTTCCAGAGTCGATGATGGGGAAAAGGGAGAAGAAACTGACTATTTTCTATAGGGGAAACATTTTCTAAATTGAGTTCGATTCGTTTTTGGCTATTTATGTGAATAATTATGCAAAGTTTTAAAAAAGTAAGTTATTTCAGGCAGAACTCAAATGAACCAAAATCGTGTACTTAAATGATGTTTTTATATTCTAAAGTATAATTAAATATAGTTTTGTTTTTTAATGAAAATATTTAACTGGAAAGTTGATTTTATTCCAATAAACATGATTACAAAGTTTTTAGGTTAATTTATGAGGGAATGTCTGCTCTTTGGGGCCCCCTGCTGGTGGCGTGGGGGACTCAAGAGTCAACTTTGTTCCTCCATCCATCGGGTCAGCAGTGAAGATGAGCGGGGATTTATTATTTTATTTTATTTTTTAGGTTTCTGGGGATGTGTTTTTTTTTTCCAAAACGAAGCTCACCTTCAGGTTAATCTGAGGGCAGCTGCTTCAATCACATTTACTATTTTTCCAGACATGCCTCATTAAAGTATAAATTGTGCATCAGATGCCAAATTGTCATCTTTGACGGGAGCAAATCGCTCTGAGATACACGGGCGGAACACCGAGGCGCAAATCTGCAGGAAGGCGCAGAGAATCCACCTTTTTGTGTCTGATTTGACACACCCGGGTTTCAGTGGAGGGTCTGTGCTCATCACCGAAGAAACGACAAGGAATAAAATAAGACAGAAAAAAAACAGCGCAGGTTTTCCAGCCTGTTTTTACGCATAACTCCCCCTCCCTAAAATAAGATGTGCATGCTCCCCTTCTTCTATTTTCTTTCTTTATGCTTCTGCGCGCGCGCGCCTGTGCACGCACGCATTGTTGAGTTGAATTGTAAAATTGCGCACATTTTCTGTTGGCAGTGGCATTCAGGATCAATTGGGCGACCCCCACTCCTGTATGCACTTTTATACTTTCTTTTCTTTCCTCCCCCTCGCTCTCCCCCTCCTCCCCCCTTTTGGCTCAGCAAGAGAGTTTAGAAAAAGAGGCGTGGGTTCTATTCAGCGTCCCCGGGTTTCCCCCCCACACCCCTTCCCCATCAGCAGCCTTTCTGAAACCTATCCATGCCCCCTTGTCAGCCTGCTTCCAGGCTCCAATTAGCGCTTTGTGCGGACTTTGTGGGTCTTCCAGAGGTTGGGAGGGCGCTCGCTTTACTTGAAGAGGCTTTCCAGTCAAGGCTGAGTGTAATAATTATTATGACATCCGGGCGCACAGGTTCCCATTTAACCACTTAGTGTTTTTTTCCCTGCTTTTGTTCGAGGGGTTCACTGTCCAGGAGAATAATAATAAACAAAGGAAGTTATAAGCACCAAAACTAATTTGTTGGGGATGGAAGGATTACCCTCCAATTGGTTTCTCATAAATAAATAAAAAAATCCTTTAAAAAACAGAGGAAATCTGATGAGCCAATTAATATATTTTGTAACATAAAAAATTATCATCACTTTATTATCTCACAAATGTGTATATGCATAAAATAAATGTAGATATATGCATAAAGCTTTAGGCAAAAACTTGTACTCTTCTCATCTAGGGGAAAACTTTTCCATTCTGCTTGGCAGGATAAGATATAATAGAATACTGCCCTCTAGCGGTATATTTTCCTGATTTGTTATTTTGGACTTTTAAAGATGCCTTTGAATGTTTTATTTTACACGATAAAACAATTTATACATCAGAACCACAGCGAGCTTATAAAACATTGATTTTATGGATTTTTTTTTTTTTTAGTTGTACTTGAGAAAAATCCTTTTTGGCATCAGCAGGTAATTATAGCTGCATATTAAAGAGTTCCTTTGTGATGGTTGCATTCTGAAATGTCTTTGAAACATAGCTTTCAAGTTTTCAAAAAGGTTTATGTTGCGTTGTTTGGAAGGTTTACCAAATCCTATATGTAAGCCTATTTTTTTCCTTTCAAACCAGTTTGGATGTTGGTATCAGATCAATTACAGGCATCCCCAAAGTCGGTCCTCGAGGGCCGCTGTCCTGCAGGTTTTAGAGGTTTCGCTGCTTCAGCACAGTTGATTCTGATGATTGCAGTTCAGCAAAAGCATGTTAATCAACTATCAATGTAAATCAGCTGTGCTGGAGCAGGGAAACCTCTAAAACCTGCAGGACAGCGGCCCTCGAGGACCGACTTTGGGGATGCCTGTCCTATTAGAACATTCCACTGGCTGAATGCTGCTCTAAGCAGAAGATCAGGAATTTCCAACTCAATCCACTATGTGCAGTAGATCCGTTTGCAGCCCCACAGCAGGATGCTGTCAGTGGTGCAGTGCGCTTAGATTCAAAGGCCACAACCGACTCTTCCGAACTTTATTCATGCCAATACAGCTAAGGAGCTAAACTTAGACTTAGAGAGCTTAAATTGACATTTTGTACACACAGAGTGTATGCAAAAAGAAATTTCCTTCAGTACAGCTCCCAAGACATTTCCAACTTTAAAGTGCAGCAGTCATAAAATGTAAGCATGGTGATCGAATGTAAACATAAGATTGGTATATGATTTACAGTTTTCAAATATTCAGGACTCCTTTTTTTCACACGTCAGTTATGATGATACCGGCTCGGGACACGCAGAGCTGGGATGAAATGTCTTAATGGAGGGAGGAGGATCGCCCATTATCCTTTTTGCAGTTCTCACCACTCTAACGTTCTTCCAGTCTGAGGCGCTGCAGCCTCCACTCCATACAGTGAGACAGCTGGACAGAACGCTATGGTGCTCCTATAGAAGGTGGTGAGGATGGGTGGGGGCAGGTGGGCTCTCCTCATCCTCTGTAGGAAGTACAAGCTTCTAATAAAACTCTTTAAAACTAAAGCTCTCTTTTCTCCAGAAGCTTTTGGATTTTTCATGTGCAAATACTGGATAAGTTTGAAGGTGCTGTTTTTGAAGTAGTGGCTTCTTTCAGTCTTTTTCTTTTAATCATGTTGAACACTGGCCTTAACAGAGCTTCACAAGCAGTGGGTCATTAGTCACCTCCAGGAAGAGTAGCTCATGTCATCTTAATCTAATTGCTGTGGGCCAAACACTCTTGGGAAAGGAGCACACTGTTACATGTTTTCTAACACATACTGTTCCACTGGAAGCCAATGGATTCTAACCTTTTGCAGAATCATAACTTTTTCTTGTTTTTTATAATTTGATTTGTTTGACCATGGGTTTTGCATTTGTCTTTATAAAAATTTACTCATCTGTTTACATTTGCCTTTTAGGAATAAGCTAGTTTAGAAAATTTATGATTTGATCATTTTAAATTGATTCAGGTCACAAATAGAATAATAGATATTAGAAAAACATTTACTTATTTTGTTCTAAACCTATTTAAACCCAATCAAAGATGCTTTTAAAAAATAATTAATTAATAAATACAAAAAAAAAAAAACTGGGCTCATATGTAACCATTAACTGTCTATGTGTGTCTTTGTGGTGTGAATAGAAGCATCTCGTATATAACTTTATTTTTTGTTATGTTATTTCAACCATGTAAGGATTTTGAGACCTGCAAGGGGACTGCAGTTTGGAATTAGTTTAATCCTCTTTAGCTATGAATCAAATGTGACATTTATGCTGAATTTATATACTGTCCTAGATTACTGAAAGAGATAGGATGGAAATGAAAAGGAAAAATATTCGTTTGCGTGCTTTAACACCTTGTGACCACTAGATGTCCTCATTTCAACTTAAAATGCTATAACAAAGTTGATATAACCGTTCAAAATATATTTTTTTAAGTGTTTTTTTGTTGTTGTTGTGAGATTGAACTGTTCTATATTTTGATTCTTACTCACTAAAACGTACTAAAATATGTTGAGACCTTCTGATATAGTTTTTGAATTATGTTTTTCCCAATTTTATGATAATAGGAATTGTAGAAAAGCATGTACGGTAACAAGTTATTAGTTTTATTTATTTTCTGTGAAAAATGTAGAAGGATGATTCTTTTATGTCCTTTGATCATATTTCATGAAAAATTTTTAAACAAGGACTTTTCATACCTTTATAGTTATCTTTACAAAGAAACTGTTTTAAGACATTGTCTTAGTAGTCTGTGAGGAATTTTTCACCTTTTTTTCAGCCTTATTTATATGTAAATATTACCGTTTTGTGCTTGTCCCACACCCAGACTTTTCATCTTTAATAATAAAAGTGGTTAAAAAAAAACATTTTTTCCAATGTTTTAAAATATCATTGAATAAAATATCAGTAAAGAAATCTAACTATAATTGGAGTATTTAATGTCATACAACTGTTTATGTGATTTTCTAAACCAATTGTAGTTGTCCCACACTAGTGGCCTAATTTCCACCACAACACTGTAATGTCGCTTTAAAAAGTTTGTATGAAAGATTGTTTGGGTAGTTGCTATGGAGATGAACAGTGACATCACAGCACAAGTCTGACATGGTGGAAATGTTGACTTCATCCATCAACTTTTGAAGTAAAGCCAAGGTAAATATTGCCTGAAATGAAAATATTTTTATTGTATGTAATTTCCAAACATGCCGTAACATCAACTCAGTTTGGAAATTAATTGTTATTTTAACACACATAGATGTATTTTGTAAACATAAAATGCTAGAGACCCTTTCTTAGCTATTATGTGATGCTAGCATAGATTTTCCTGCCAATTTCTGTCAGATTGTAACTTCCACCACATTGCATTCTAGGGTGGAAATTACAATTATGTGTGTGGGCGTAATTCATAGATACACATACAAGGCCCTTGTTCCCTCACATTTTATGTATCTCATTTTATTATTACAACAATGTGGTAATACTATAAAATAACACTCTTTTAGACAACTTTAAGCATTTTGCGGTGGTGCAAACCCCCTCTCTCCCACCCTTAGTACCACCTATGCACAACTGCAATTAATTTATTATTATTTAATAATATATTTATCATTATTATTTATTATTATGTTCCATAAAATTTTTAAAAAGAAAGGTTTGTTGTCTGTATGGTCCATTCATTGTAATTTCCACAACAACCAGTAATTTCCACCACACCATTTGTTTTTAAATAAATTGTTGCAAAATTCTAATCACTCATTAAAACCTTCTTCATAACTTAGGAGATACTTTCCCACTTTAATTAAAAACACAAGTATTTACACCTTAAAATGTATCTTGTGATTCCATTGCTATATCTCAAGTTATGGCGGACATAAGATTCGCGTCTTGTCCTCATCACAATTAATTTATTTAATCCATAAATGTGTTTTACAATAAAGGCATAAACAGTTAAAACTATATATGAAATTTTTCTTCCAGTGAAAAAAACATTATGTGTATCGTAGTATTTTAGAATTAATGAAAAATATTTATGTGATGGAAATTCCATTTGTGTCAGCCGAGTTGGGAAAAAAACATCAATTTGTCTTAAAAAATCTGTGTGTTTTCTTATGACTCTTTAAACTAGACTAGTTATGCTAACCAATTACATTGTGAGAATTTATATTTTATTATACTTTTTCTCTTCAAGTTTGCAAGGCCAATAGAAAGGCAAGGCAAGGCAAATTTATTTGTATAGCACAATTCAGTGCAAAGACAATGCAAAGTGCTTTACAGGATTAAAACGTAGGAAAATAAAACAGAATCAAAGCAAGAAGGGAAAAAATAATTAGATAAAAAAAAAAAAAAAAATGCAGAAACAAAAAACATTGTTTTAAAAAGTGCCTTTAGTTTAAGAATCACCCAGAATCGTTCTTTAGCACGAAAGTTATTCTGCGATTTCGATTATTCTGTCTCTTTCGAGCTTCCGTTGGTTTTGGGTCACGTGGGTTTGTTTACCCGGAAGTAGAGCCTCCGTTAGACGAGTTGGGCTCAGTACCTGATTTTTTAGCTTTTAGTGAAGTATAATATAAGTTTTCTACATATAAGCTGAGCGGGTTAAAGCCCAACAACGATGCGGTCGTTGAACTTTGTTCACCGGGTCAGTTTGGACTTTACAGGAACCATGTTTCCTCACGCCATCTGCCTGGGCGACGCAGACAACGACTCAGTAATAAACCTCTTCATCTTTCTCCAGATCATCATTCCTAATATTTCTTATAAATACCTAATTTTTGTTCAGTGTTCATACTAAATAGGAAATATACATTTCTTTAATTACTACAGTTTAAAAAAGGAAATGCTATTTATTTACAAAACTGACAGCTCAAGAAACCTAACAGTGATAACAGATTAGTTGTTTGAAATACTTTTATGTATTTAGACGTATAATACAAACCCCTTTATTCATCATATCATCTTGTTTTTGTTTTGTTTGTTTTTTTATCTGAGGTGCAATGCAAGTACTAGGCTTTTTATTTATTTAATAAAATCTGATTTTTAACTTATAACATTTATAACTACAGCTCTTAAATTGAAATGAGAGAGGCTAATTCATGATTATGCTGATGATGATTCTCAATCATCCAGGTCATATTCATTGCAAAAAAGTTAAAAACTCAAAGCTTTTTCTGACATTTTGAATGTTGAAAAGTTTTATGGATGGGAAGCGAAACGTCTTCAAACTTGGAAACAAACTCCAGTGGATTGTTTTTCAACTTTTTTGGAAATCCATAATTAAACTTTTTTTGTTGTTGTGTTTCTGTCCATACAGCTAAACGAGCTAATTGTTGGAGATACAAGTGGAAAGCTACTTGTTTACAAGAATGATGAATCCAAACCTAGGATCACAAGAACCTGTGTGGGAATGGTTGGTATTAAATAGCAAAAGTGCAGGGAAAGGGTTTGATCTTTTGCATGTTTTAACTTGCTTTGTTTTGTTTGTTTTTTAGCTAACTTGTGTTGCAGTTGGAGATGTCTGCAACAAGGGAAAGGTAAGCAGGTTAAAATCAGAGGCAGCTGGATGCTGAAAGGTTTGCAGGTGATTTAAGCTTCTCCAGTTCTTTTCCAGAATCTTGTCGTCGCTGTGGGAGCAGAAGGATGGTTTCACCTCTTTGATCTGACTGCTGCCAGTTCCAGTAAATTAGACTCCTCCAGCCAGCATGAATCCCTGTCTCATGATGATCAGAGGCCCTTCTTCACCCAACACATTCCTGCAAACACTAAAGTCATCCTCATTAGTGATATTGGTACAGCCCTTGCTTTTATTTAATGTCTCACTCAAACCATGTCTCATGCAAAATGTTATCATGATGTATTCATCTCTGTGTGCGCAGATGGAGATGGCCGCTGTGAGTTGGTGGTGGGATACACAGACCGAGTAGTCAGAGCGTTCCGCTGGGAGGAGCCGTCCGACGGCTCGGATGGAGGATTCGGTCAGCTGGTTCTCCTAAAGAAATGGCTCCTAGAGGGACAGGTCCACATAACTGCTTTTAAACATTATTTATAATGCATCAGTGTTCATAGTTTTACTTCTGAGATTTATATTGCAAAATAGGGGTGCCTAAAATAAAGAAAAAACTGTAATAATTCTCAGGGAAAAGCTACTCAAACCAAGTAAAGGTATCTGTTCAAGCAGGAAGATCATTTTACTTGACAATATTTCTTGATTTAAGATTTTTTAAATCTAGAAATAAGCATGTTTAACACTTAAAATTAGAAACGACGTCTTAAAGCAGGGGTGTCAAAGTCATTCCAGAAAGGGCTGTGTGGCTGCTGGTTTTCTTTCCACCCAAGCAGTAGCACACCAGACTCCATTCATCCCATCAAGTCATCAGGTTAAGACTAGACTCACCTTGATGAGATGAATGGAGTCTGGTGTGCTACTGCTTGGGTGGAAAGAAAACCAGCAGCCACACGGCCCTTTCTGGAACGACTTTGACACCTGTGTCTTAAAGGGTTCATAGAATGCAAATCCGAGTTTACATTGTCATAGATGAATAATGATTTTTCAATGGGTGAAATAGACGTACAGAGAAGTTCAAACCCCATCAACACCTCTTTTCTCTGCAAATCTCACAATTCTAAACTTTCACCATAAAACGGGCAAATGCAAACGAAATAAATTCGGGGATTTTGCCTTGTTTGGTTCTGGCCTGTAGGTTTGTCACCCCCCGAAATTGACAGACCGGCCCGCTGGTTCACTGGGAGGGGGTTCCTAGGGAGGGGAGTATGAAGTTTCGACGGCTGGGCCGCTTACTGGATGGAACCTCAGCAGAGAGCCATTAGCCGCCCGTCCTCAGCCAGAGGAGTGGGACTGGGGGCCGGTAAGGCAGGGGTGGAAGCCCGGGGCCGCCTGTGTCCAGGCTACCATCACCGGGTTGAGTTCAGACGCTCCGTCTCCCGCTGGCACCCTGCCCCCGTCTGCTGGGGTTCCCGGACCAGCCCCGGAGCTTACGGCTCTGTTCAGTGTGTTTCGACTACGTGCTGCATTGTAGTCAACCAAAATCCTGGGTGATATTTAAATTCCCCCGGACATTTTTTCAGGTATGAAAAGTAGGACATGTCCGGGAAAAAGAGGACGTCTGGTCACCCTACCATATAAACAATTTGATGTTTCAGTGAGTGAGTGCTTGTTGCTATGATGCGTCTTTGCTCAGCAGCTTAGTTCTTGTAAACCAACCAATCAGAGCACAGCTCATCTAAATATTCATGAGCATACTATAAAAGGAAGAAAACCTGTTGTTTCATTCTAGGGCTTTTAACCCGGCTTGCATTAGGGCTCATAGAACAGCAAATATGCCATTTTCAGCCCAACCAATGTTACACACCCTATTCAGAGACCTTAAGGACCAGCACCAGATACCCTATAGAATCATTCTATTACAATATATATGATTGAACACTTCTAAATATATGTTTTTGTTTTCTTATCTTGGTGAGATCCGAATAATTTGCAGTGCAGTCAGGCAATTTTTGAGCCAAAACTTTTGCAATTGCAATCCTTCAGTCAGGGAAAGAAAAGTAAAATTTTTACTTTACCTTTTGAAAAGAAACTGCCTAAATAATCAATATAATTGTCAAACACTAGGGTTTAAGTTTTAGGAATCACTTTTCATGATTGTTTTTTTTTTTTTTTTTTTTTTTTTATACTGACTAAAAGCAAACAGGTTGTGCTCATAGCTATTTCCTATCTTCTAATCTACATTCTGGTTCTGATGCATTATATACTTGCTCCTTGTTTTCTCTACAAGAAACACAAAGCAAACCAGTTTGGAAACCTTCTACTTTATTAAGTTTTCCAAAAGAAATGTTTGGAACTTTGGTGTTTGTTCTGCAGGTGGACAGTCTGTCAGTGAACCCGGGTCCTGAGGGTTTACCGGAGCTCATGGTGTCCCAGCCGGGCTGCGGATACGCCATCCTGCTCTGCACCTGGACCCAGCAGGACTCCACCGAGTCTGAGGATGACGACCCCGCCACGCCCGGCAGGTAAACTCGGTCAGCCTGAGATTGAAAGGGCAGCTGTTGGTTGTAGGGTAAGCCGCATGTTGTGTTCCCACAGTGAGGGACCTTCCAGAGATGTAGTTCTCCACCTGACCAGCGGGCGGATACACAACAAGAATGTTTCCACTCATCTTATTGGCAGCATAAGCAAAGGTAATAAACAGATCAAATTATTTTAAAAAAATTCACTATTATCTTGGATTATAATAGATTATTTAATCTTTTCTCTGTTTTTCCATTTTACTTTGTCATCGCTGGTAATTGTCCGAGTCAAAGCGCATCACTTTTTTTTTATTCTAGCTTGTTGAAGTGGATTACCTTAATAAGATGGAAATGGAAAATATATATATATATATTTAAACTTTAATTGCATTTGTTTTCTTTAGCTAAGGTTTTTCCTTTTTTTACCAGGTTCAAAAGAGGAATCCTCTAAACGTGGACTGTTTGCACTTTGCACGTTAGACGGTAAATACCTATTTTTGTTCTTTTTGACCAAACAAAGTTCACCAGTAAAGTATCATGAGATATTAGATACTTTAGTGAAGAGCAGGAGATTTCAGCTTTGCCCTGAAATCCAACCACCAGAGTTAAATGAATGGCTTATTAGAAGGCATCTACAAGGCTTTGGTTTTGTATTTATTTATTTATTTTTATTTAAAAAAAATTTTAATTCGTTTATTTGATAGGGACAAGTATGTTTCATGAATCATGTCACACACTACAACATTTTAGCTAAGGCTAATTCTCAATGCCTGTCACCAGTTAGGCTTGTGCACAAAACATGGTGACTGTACACAATAAACAGAACAAATTACACACTAAAACATCACAGATACAAGATCAGGTCAGTTAGATTATTAATGTTGACATGTCTGACCTCTCAATAAAAAGTCTTTAAGTTTATGTTTAAAAATGACCCACTTAGACCCTCCCTTCAGTTCAATTCCATGTTTTGGTGCCTTGTACAGTGAAAGCTGATCGTCCGAAGGAGGCTTTGCATCTAGGTACCTGACATTTTCCACTGTTAGCTCCTCTTGTGACTGAGCCCACAGCTCTGAGAGGAACTACACAGTCACTCAAAACCTTAGGGGCCTGATTGTGCAAGCAAGTTTTCAAAATTTAGCATTTTTGAATTGTTCAGACTAACACAGTGATGGGACCTGACTGTTTTTATCTAAGATTTTTATAGATCTATTATATATCATCTGAAGAGGCTTGATAGTAGTAGTATTTAAAGTAGAGCTAGACTGATACATCACCCGGCTGACATATGTGGGGTTTTTCTTGCTTTGGCTGATATATTTAAGGCTTTGCCAGTTCTTTAGCGCTTACTGCAGCCATGCTTTAAAGGAATAGTACACCCAAAACATGATTAGCCTTCATTTTCTACTCACCCCCATGCTGAACAAAACTCTGGAGTACTTTTTTGATATCTCAAATGCATCTGGAGATCTGGGAGGCTTCTTGCTGTCTGCTGACATTCAAATAATGGAGGTCTATGGTGCCCGAGACAGAAAGGTCCATAAAAGTCCACAAAAAACGTGTCAATATTCCTCCATACTGCTCGTCCAATGTATTCCAAGTGTCCTGAGTGGGTAGCGTCCATAATTTACTCGAAACGAAGTCATTTAGAATGTTTTTAGAGCATAAACAGTAGTGTATAGGATTTCCTGAAAACGCGCACATGCGCGTTCACGACGCTACGGAAGCCGGCAGACCAAACCAGATGAAAGTGCGCATTCAGCGTCTGCTCTGCAGATAATGCAAGCGTAGAAGAAGAAATGTGCTGTTTACCTGTGCAAAGAAAGAAACAACGAAAGAAAAATGTCTGAGGACTTCAGTGTTGAGGAAGAGCATGAGTTCTTTGCTGAGCTGAATGCGCACTTTCATCTGGTTTGGTCTGCCACGGTTTCCGTAGCGCCGTGAACGCACTTTCAGGAAATCCTATACACTACTGTTTATGCTCTAAAAACATTCTAAATGACTTCGTTTCGAGTAAATTCTGGATGCTACCCACTCAGGACACTTGGAATACATTGGACGAGCAGTATGGAGGAATATTGACACGTTTTTTTGTGGACTTTTATGGACCTTTCTGTCTCGGGCGCCATAGACCTCCATTATTTGAATGTCAGCAGACAGCAAGAAGCCTCCCAGATCTCCAGATGCATTTGAGATATCAAAAAAGTACTCCAGAGTGTTGTTCAGCATGGGGGTGAGTAGAAAATGAAGGCTAATCATGTTTTGGGTGTACTATTCCTTTAAGATCCTGTGAGGTGCATGTATTGCCGCATTTGTTATCCAATTGTTAAATGTTTTGTGTTGTTTTTTTATGATTTTTTTTGATTGAGACTTTTTTAAGATTGGTTATCATTTTTATTTTGATCATGTACAAGATGGAAGAAGTCAAATCTGTTTCAAGAGTCGGCTCCAGAAAATCACATATCAGATAGACTGATGTTAAAACAGCTGGCATTAGCCCTGCCTTAAAGGATCACACTGACCTCTCTATTTCGATTGCTTTTCACTGTGCTCTTTACAATTTTGTTTATATATTTTCCTTTTTTTCTCTCTCTCTATATATATACATGTTAACACTTATTTTTATTATCGTTATATTGCCTCTTTCTTTTTTTTTTTCTTCTTTTTTTGTTTCTTTCTTTTTTGTGTTGGTGTTGTATTCTGGGAAATCTTATCAAAAATAAAGTACAAAAAACAAAAAACAAAAAAAAAAGGATCAGACCATCTATAATTGATGTCATTCATGTTAAACCTCGCTGTTTTTTATGTTTTGCCTTAATCCTCTTCTGTACCCAGGAACCCTGAAGCTGATGGACAGCTCAGAGCAGCTCTTGTGGTCGGTTCAGGTCGATCATCAGCTCTTTGCTCTGCAGAAACTCGATGTCACTGTGAGTCTTTGTGTATTTGTGTTAAACCAATAATTAGTTTCATTTTGGATCACTTTTTTTAATTACAAATCTCTCAATGAACCAGTTCTATCTCTGGTAAACACGTAGTGAAAATCAAACCATTTAAACTTTAAAAAAATGATCTGTTGGCCTCTGAAGGCTGGTGGTCAGTTTGCAAGATTCCTGTTAGTATCTAACAGATTATATTACATGTTTTAGTCATTTGGGCGCAAAGAATAATAAAATAAGTACACCTCTATACAAAGTATTTAAAGCATTAAGTGACCAACCTGTGTAAAAATGTTCAACACATTACCAAGCTATAGAAACAGCTATAACATTACTAAGGGACTGGAGCCATTTGGAGCAGGATTATTCTCAAGTGGAAAACCTTTTGAACAGCGGCTAAGCTTAGGTTTAGATTAAAGCTTTATTTTTATTTGTTAGCTACCAGATGAATTAGCAACAACGCTTCTGTCATTCGTTAAGTCTAAAACTAAGCTGTTTGTAAAATACAAATGCAGTGTTTCGGCAAAAGCATCTGCAAACTGTGAAGCATGGTGTTGGAGGGGTGATGGTTTGGGCTTGACCTTAACTTCCCTGTGCCTCGAGATGTTCAATCAAACGAGAGGCCCTCCATCAAACTGTGTCATCAGTAGAACGAGGATTTCTGGCACTGGAGAAATCTGAAAAAGCAGGAAATGCATCACTTTTCATGTTTTTCACAGATCAGAGACTCAGGGTCGACTGCAGCCTTTTTCTCACCTCCACTTCCTCTTTATCATACCAGAGTTATACTTTCTAACCGCAGAAGCATCCATTTGAATCCAAATAAATCAGATTTTTTTTTTAAAGAGATGATTTTTATTGCATGAACAAACAATGTTTACTCATGTTAATGAGGTGATAATATATTGAATCAATTTATGTTAAATAATCAAGTGTTATTGACTGTTTTGTTGTTCTGCTAAATAAAACAATTATAAACCACCTTCCAATTCCATGCCATGTATTGAAATACGTTCACCTGGATGTTAACTTGCAGGGAGACGGTAGAGAGGAGGTTGTGGCCTGTGCCTGGGATGGTCAGACCTACATTATTGATCACAACAGGACCGTGGTGCGCTTCCAGTTTGACGAGAACGTCAATGCTTTCTGTGCAGGTACTAAGACATCCTCGTCATCAAGTTTCATTTTCATAAATATGCTTTCCTTATGTTTCTTTACTGCGATGTTTCAGTTATTTTATGGCTTTTCTGAATCATTAAATGTCAGCAAACATAAAATGAACACATTGGTTCAGATCTTACTTGATAAACAAACTGCTTTGTGCTATTTATCAAGTATAAATCAAAATTTAAAAAAAGACCAATTAGAAACCTTGGTGTTCCTCAGGGGTCTGCTCTCAGCTAAATTCTATTCAATATGTAAATGTTACCCCAAACATTTTTTTTTACAACTTTTACTATATCTGTGGTGATGGCTCAACTTTATATGCCAATGACATCACATGACATCAGTCCCTAATAGTCACTGAGTGGATCTTCGTGGGAACAGTGAGACAGAGGGCTAACATTTCCCCTGGCTAAATGCATATAGAAAATAAGTTAGCTTGTTTGGTGCTAAAAGCTAAAGTCAGTATATGAAATTAGTATTCAGCTGGATTTAGTAAAGTTCAAATCAAACAATCAAACTTTTAAAGAAAGAAAAAAAGCTCAGTTTAGCCCCTCAGGTGAACAACCGTGTTGTATTTAAAGTTTTCCACACTAAAATGGCTTAGAAAGCATTTAAACAAAAGCAGCAAAGGGAGGCAGCATTTTGTGTCCTTTTGTGACTAATTGAAATATTTTCTTATTAAAATAAAAGCATAAACTAAGGCCATTTTATTCATTTATATATTGTATTTATTGGCGAGGGACAGACAAGTTTCATTCATTTGATTGTTCTTTTTTTTTTTTTTTTTCAAAAATGCCTGCTTAAGCTATAGATGTCATGTTTATTTAAAAAAAACAATCCTGACACTATTTTCAGAAAGGCTTCTCAGAAAAAATAATAGCAAATAAGAGATGGCCCTAAATGTTTGCACAGTTTTTTTTACATCAAGATGGCTGCAAGTAAAGACAGCCAGCTTTCTTAAAGCTTATATAAAACTCCAGAGATCATCTTGGTTCTGGTGCCCAGAAAACAAAGAAAGAGTTTGGTATGATTTGCATGAGGCTTCGATCTGTGTGCTCTAAACCTTTTAGCTCAAATAACATCATCTGGTTTGGATCACTTTAATCTCTCTAGTTTACAGACATCTTTCCAAAGGGGTGCAATTAAAGTTGCAGATCATCACAATCGGAAACATTTGGAAATGAAAAAGCAATTGAAAGCAAACCTGAGGCTCACTTTTTAATAAGAGTTATAATAAAGTTGCTCTGTAGCTGCTGAGTGGGGTAATAAGCAGCTAATCACAAACACATCTAATCCTCCCAAATGGCTATGCAGATTAAAGTAGATGTATTCATTTTCTTTTGGCTTTTTTAATGGAGATGAACAGAAAAGATCAACTGAAATATTGAGAATCATTAGAAATTTTGCCATGAAATAATTCAAACAATTTTTCAATTATATTTGGTTTAATCTTTGTCATAGGAAAAAATAAAAAGATCAATACTGTATTTTGGTGTTTGGAGTGCTACACCTGAAACAGCACAATACCAAATCCGAATCAGCTTAATTGGACAAATTTGTGTGCTAAAAAAAAGAAATTTGACTTCCTTTTCTTTGCACACAAATTTGAGCTGATTTTGATTTGGTATTGTGCTGTTTCAGGGGTAGAATCTTCTTTTATTTAATAGAAATAGACCACCAGATGGCAGTATTGGGCTTCAGTCTTTGTGCCTGGTTCAACCTGTTTCCCGATTTGCAGAAATCTTAGTTCATCTATAAGAAATAACATTTATCTCAGATTTATTTCATCTCTGGTATGAAGATCAAATCCTTAAAGTCGCTTTCTACTGTAGACCCTCTCAGCTGTAGAAACTGTGCCTAAAAGTAAGATGTTTCCTTTGCATTTGCTTGGTTTGTTGTAGCATTTAGGCTTCTAGCTATTTTCTATAGTTTCAGATTTTGTGAAGTGATTTTCTGTTTTTGTTTTTGTCTATTTTGGATTTTGCATCATTCGTGTATTTTTAGGGCATTTCTTTGTATGTTCTGTATTAATAGTTGCATCTATTAACCACTGTACTTAAAGTGGAACTCACCCCAAAATCAATGTTTTTTTGTTTGTTTTTTTGACAGATAAACTGTTTGAACTAGTTCTATTGGGCGCCATTTTAATAAAGCTGTGTATTTATTACGTTTTTATGAGAGACTTTATTGTAGTTCTGCAGTATTTGTCTCAAAACCACCTTAGTGTTGCCTTGAACGGTTAAACATGAATGCAGTTGAATTTTTCTATTGCTTCATAATGTACATACAGGTGTTTAGCATGATGGTAATGCATTTAGGTATTCATACAACTCATTCAGACATCCTGGCAGTGACTTGAACTGATAACGCTCTGACCCACTGGAAGCTATGAGGCCTCCCTCCACGCCTGATTTAAAAGAGGATAAAAAGTCTGCCACCTCCAAAGATATTTCCATGATTTAATAGAGACATACTTCTGCCCATTCTCCATGCTTCATAAAAGCTAGGCTAGACTGAGCTAGCTGCCTTTCTCATTCTAACCACACCCTCGCTGCCTCTGAGGTTCCCCTGGCGCCGTCAGTACTAATCTGTCCCAGTAGCATAATCTGTGACATGACCTTATTTGCACACATGCAACCTGACATGCATCCAGATCTCTATTTAACGCGCTTTAGCCAATATGTTAGATGTATAGAAGATGTTCTTTTTCCGGGTGGATCATCAAAATAAATGGGCTCCCTAATTGTCAATCATTCTGGTGATATGTTTTCACCTAACCCTATGGCGAGAATTAGCTCCCCTCCTGCACTCTGATTGACTGAAAAACACTGAAAACAGATTGAAATATAAACAAAAAGGGAACTTTTAAATATAATATTAATGTTTTCATATTTCTAATGCATGGTTGCCCTAAAATTAAGAGTTTTGATGGAAAGATAAGGTCGAATAAATACGATTTTTACTTGTATGGAGATAAGTTTTAGTCGATGTGCTACAGTCAGTGTCCGATGAATATATTCTCTGCTCAGTGGATGCTTTTCCCTCTTTTGCTATCAACATCATTCTATATCATTTTTCACAAAACATTAAGAATATGTTTAAAAGTTATTTTTTCGTTCATATTTCAATCTGTTTTCTTATCAAAATGCGAGAGTTTGGAGTGATTCACGCTCCCGTGACAGGGGAGAAAATTCTCAGTAGGCAAGAATTTCTCTGCATTCATCTGTCCACCAAACCTCTTAATTTTAGGGCATCCATGCATAAGAATTATGAAAATATTAAGAATATGTTTAAAAGTTCCCTTTTCATTCATAATTCAGTCTGTTTTCTCATCAGTGTGCGAGAGGGGAGGTGTTTCTCAGCAGGTAGGTTTTTTCTCAGCATTACACGTTGGTGAGTCTGACATAGGGAAAAAAATTCAAATCTTCTTTTGGAAAATAAGCTTGAATGAGCAATGCAAACTTTTAAACAGAGCGTGCATGAGGAGCAATGGGCTTGTGCACGGTTTCCCACGTGTTAAGTAGGCGTTCCCTCCTGAGAGCAGTTACAGGGTTGTGCGTGTGCATTGTTTTTCTTTTTGTTTTTGTACAGTGGAGAGAACGTGTCTTTTAAAAAAAAATTGAAAATCCTCCACATAACCTTTAAGGTTAGCTTATGCTATCAATAGATGAAATACTAACAGCAAATTCTACACTTTTGTATGTTGACTAATATTAGTGGACTGTTTCTACCAGTGCTGCTCAGTGGAGCAATGGGTAGCACTGCTGCCTTGCAGCAAGAAGGGTCTGGGTTTGATTCCCGGCCCAGGGTCTTTCTGCAGGGAGTTTGCATGTGTGGGTTCTCTCCGGCTTCCTCCCACAGTCCAAAAATATGACTGTTAGGTTAATTGGCTTCTCCAAGTTCTCCTTAGGTGTGAGTGTGTGCGTGAATTGTTGTTTGTCCTGTCTGTCTCTGTCTTGCCCTGCGGTAGACCGGCAACATTGACAGCTGGACATAGGCACCGGCCCCTCAGTGACCCAATGCAGGGATAAAGCTACAGATAATAACAAATATAATATTCTAGTAGCAGCTTGTCTGCTAACATCAGCCAGAGTTTTAACTATAGCTAATAGTAGAGTTTTTACTAAGTGATGCCTGAATACAGGTTTTACCTTTAAGACTATAAATCTTGTAAGCTTCTTTTTATTTATAATCTACTTTTTCTTGGTCCATCATAAAATGTCCCTAAATAACCTTAAAGGTTGTATTTGTACTGTCTTAAATAAACTTTAGGTTCAAACTGTGGATTAAAAATGGTGTACTTTCAGGTCAGTACACGTGTAAGGATGGTAAAAATAGCCCCTGTCTGGTCTACGTCAGTTTCAACCAGAAAATCTACATCTACTGGAACGTGGAGCTGGAGAGGATGGAGTCCACCAACCTGTTGCGAGTTCTTGAGGAGAGACCTGAATTTAAAAGCCAGCTAAAGGCTCTTGGAGTCGGTGAGTGCTCTAACAACTGGGGGGTTTTCGGGGGGGTCATCTCGAGGAAGCAAATTCACATGAGATTGTCCTTCATTAAATTCAGCCAACATCGGCTCAGTTGGAAGTTTTATTTAAACAGGAGACCAACTCTGTCTGCTTGTAACCAAGAAACGTTCCTGAATCTGGCAGCCTGACTCTGACATGAATGGTAATGAGGAGGAGGAGAGTAAATCTTGCTTTGCAGTGGGTTTACAGCCCACTTTCCTTCACAGTTTCAGAAATGTGTTCATGTGCTTTGATGCAGAGAGACATAACAGGACTGACATCTCTGCTAAAAATCGGGTTAAAATCAAAGATCTAACCAGAAAATTCCCAATCAAAACCAGCTGCACAAACAAAAAATGCAGGAGACGAGTCTCCAACTCAGGCCTTCAGCCACCAGATGTGGAGGATCATACATAGAATTTGTTTACTTTTGATGAACAAAAAAAAAGAGATAAAAAAAACCCAAAATGGGACATTCTAAAAGTTAAATACTTTTAATTTCTTTATTTAGGTAATAAGTGATGTATATAGAAAATGATGTATGTATGATGTATATGAAAAAACAAAAAAAAATGTATAACTGTAAATTTACAGTCACATGTTTATTACTGTTTTTGTATATTTATTTATTTTTTTTACTATTTTTCAAGGCTGCACATGAAATTGTCCAGAGAGCTGATCCAAACGAAATTTATTTTGTTTTACACTTGTTTAAACAAAATTAGAAATAAAATCTGTCTAAGTGATTCACAATTGTTTAGTTATAAAAAAGAAAATTTCAGCTTTTTTATTCTCATACCACTGTCACAAGTACAGAGATACAAAAGGAACTCCCTGCATTTAACCCATCCCTTGGGGAACAGTGGGCTGACATTGTGCGGCGCCCAGGGAGCAGTGTGGGGTTAAGGGTCTTACTCAGGGACCCAGAGTGGCAGTCTGTGGGAGTGGGGCTTGAACTCTGAACCTCTGGTTTCCAAACACTTTGCCTTAACCACTAGGCCCCACTGCCCTGAATTTTAGTAATGATAGTAATCTTTACTTAAATAAGTTTATGTCCTGAGTGTGATCAGTTATAGTATCCATCTTTAATTTTCCTCAACTAAATAAAGTTTTTGGGCCAAACTAAAGTTTTTGAGCCACAATACCTTAAATCAGGGGTCTTTGATGTTTTCCAGGCCAAGGACCCCCAAACTGATGGCGAGATGAGCGGGGACCCCCTAATTATAGATAATGTGTTATATCAAACTGGTCCTATAGTTCCTCTATTATATTTGGAGTAATGTAACAAAAGTCATTTCGCCCTGGAATTATTTAAGTATTTACAATTGCTCATTGATGGGACAGGTGTTGTGAATGAAACGGTGTCCAGCTTGAAAGAGCTCCTGTGTGTCGCTGAATGTGTGGATTGACGACTGAAAGACATCTTCTGTCTCCATTTATCTGTTTACTACAGTGAGTTGAATTCATGTTAATGTTTATTTAGAGACATTTCAATTAGTGGAAAAAATTGCAAGAGGGATGCAATACCTCTGCGACCCCTCTAGGGGACCCCCTGTTAAAGACCTCCGCCTTAAATTATCAGTAGTGCTTGCCTTTAATCCACTGGCTTAAAAACTTTTTGTCAAACCCAGAAATGTTGGTTGTCATGAAGCCTGGACTGAATCTGAAAAATTAAATCAAACTTACCATAAAAAAAGAATAAAAAACATTCCCAGAATCAGACTACTGACGTTCATCCGTTCCTTTGTTAGCAAACTTCATTATCGTCATGCTGTTTTTACAGGGCTTTAAAAAAATCTATTAAAACTAAAACTTATTCTGCTACCGGAGTCCTCAGAAACACAAAAAGATCATCATATTAGTCCGTCTCTGAGGTTTTTACTCTGTCAACCTTGGGTTTAAGATGTCATAAATACTCTGTAAAGCACTCACTAATCAGAGCCCTAATTATGAATCAGGCCTATTTTTTATTCCAGAGCAAAATGTTCAGAAGCAGCCTTCAGTGTTTATGCTACTAAGCTATTGAATAAGCTCTCTTTCCAATGCACAACTGCTTCTACCCTCAGCGCCCTTATAAAAAGGTTACAACATTTCTATTTGTTGCTGCCAAAGTTAAAAAAAAAAATTTGTTTTTATGTGTCTTTTCATATTTCTTTAACTTCTATGTATAAGCACTACCATATATCTCTGGAAAAAGGTGCTATTAAAGCACCTTTTTCCAAATTTTCTAGGCTTACTTAAATTAGATCATGAAATAAATTTTAATTCCAGAAACAAATAACCTGAGTAAGTAAAAATCAAGTTTTAAAATAATAGTTTAATTTTTAAGTGGATAAAACGGTTATCCAAGCTCAGCTAGGAATGTAATTTTTCTGCTATCGACTGTATTTTATGGTTTCAGTTCTCTGTTATATTTACTTTATAAACTGCAAAGATTATGAGCCAGGAGCAAAATTTTCATTAAACCCTCTTCATTGATATTTGATCATAGAAGATATAATCCGAAACACAACTAAGACTGATTAAATGTAGATAAAACCTACTATGAACAAAAAAAGGTCTCTAAAGTTGGAAAAAAACTGTAATCCATTTAAGTAGCAAGATAATAAACCAAAACAGAAAATTAAGGATTAATTACATTAATTTGTAAAATGACAAAAAAGACAAAAATGTCTCATTTTCGAGGTCTGATAATCATCATTGAGGTATTTTATAATGAGGTTGTTTATATATTGGGCGCAGTGTCTGCACTGGAAAAAATCTAAATCTAGAAAAGTAATTTTTTCTTAAAATAAGTGCATTTGTACTTGGATTAAGGAGGTAAAAGAGACATTTTGCCAATGGAACAAGACAATTTACACTTAAAATAAGAAAAAACGATTACATTGTCTTATTTCAAGTGCATATTATCTAATTGTCTTATTTTAAGAGTAAAAATACTCATTCCATTGGCAAACTAGCTGATTTACCTACTCAAGTTAAGGGTAAATACACTTAATTTAAGGAATTTTTTACTTATTTGTAGATCGTTTTTTCCAGTGTGTGATCATAAATTAGGCTACAGTTACCCTCTAATTTACTAATTAAACAGTAGATTTATATTAAACTAAAGAGATCTGCTTTTAAAATGGCTGCTGATTGATTGTAAGATTTTTTTTTTCCTTCCTGATTGGCCTTAATCCATGACTGAGAATAGATCCTGGTTTCAAGATGTTTTCAATAGACGCTGGAGCATAGAGTTGTCAACATCAGCTGTTTGTATTCAAGCCATCCATGTCAAACCGAAGCTAAGCTAACCTGATGCTGCCAGTTTTCCATTTAACAGCTCATAGGAGGGTAATGGAGTCCTCTCATAAAACTTTCACATTGACTGACAGAGGAGGGCAGAAGGGAAATTTATCTTTTCCAGATACAAACAAATCTGCAGTCTGTCCATCAACTCTGAATCTTGTTCTCCCTGACTGCTTTTCCTTCTCCGCTTCATCATAACAGCTTTTACCTTCAGTCATCGCTTGGTTAATTATTCTGAATCCTCTCCGGTCGTTTATTTTTCCTGTTGTTAATTGCCTTTCATGGTGAAACATTAGTCTTGCTGCTGTCTCAGTGATTTTCAAGCTATCTAAAACGCGAATTAGACCATTCTTCAGTCATCATGGTTGACTGACCTGTCAGCTGCATCGTGTGATAAAGTGGAGACCCATTTTTAAAGGAAGAAGTTAGAATACTCAGAATCAGTGCAAAAAAAATACATATTTTTATATCATTAGCTGTCACACAAAAAAAATAACGTTCAACTCTGCTGTGGATTATAAATGCCCTAATCTAACTAATGTCAGCTGCAGTCCTCGAGTTTTTCTCTCGCTGTCTCCTTTTTTTTTTTTAGCTTTCTTTAATTTGTGCCCTTTGGTCAAATGTTGATTATAAAGAGCCTCTGGTTTTCTGTCGCAACTTGAAACGGTTTCTAAACCAGGCAGCTGCTCTCGCTTATTTCTAATGTGTGATTAAGGACTTCAGTCGTCTGCTCGTTTCAACTCAAGCGAAAAAAAAAAACATAGAGATATGTAGTATGAAAAGCTAAGCAGCCTTTTCGTCTCACCTGAGAGGATTTTTACCCTGAAGTTAGTGGATTTAGAGCGTCACACTCATCACAATCTTAACTAAACAACCATAATTAAATTAGCTTTTTAACAATAGCATTACAAACAACCTGCTTACAGATGTCACAGTCAGCTTCGTTTGACTGAAAAATGTTTTTTTCCCCTAACAATTCACTTCACAAACATTTAGGGAAGTCATTAATGATTTACAGATCATGGGGGAACGACTTGTTATGAAGGTATTATTTTCCAGAAACCTTATGTTTTAAAATATCAGCTTCCTTTACACAGATTTAGCAACTCCACACAGAGTAATAAGTAATTTTTATGTTATTATTTAATATATGGCTCATAGAATCTTTCAGCGTGTTTCTTTCTCCTGACTCCCACTGGAAAAAAAATCAAAATCTAGATAAGTCATTTTTTCTTAAAATAAGTGTATTTGTTCTTGAATTCAGGAGGTAAAAGAGACATTATGGAACAAGACAATTTACCTTTAAAATAAGAAAACACAATTGCATTGTCTTATTTCAAGTGCATCTTATCTAAATATCTTATTTTAAGAGTAAAAACACTCATTCCATTGGCAGATCATCTTATTCAAATATTCAAATTAAGGGTAAATACACTTAAATTAAGAATGTTTGTACTTATTTCTAGATCGTTTTTCCAGTGTATAAAACCAGGTATAAGTATTCAATCTGAATGCTAAAATAGATCAGAGCATCTCTGTGGTTTACAGTGTAGTTCAGGGTTTTTAATAAGAAATAAATGTTTTAGTTTCTTGTTTAACTAGAACCGTTTAAGCCAGCTCTAATAAAAAAAAAACAGGGTTTTTACATTGATATGATGGAAGTCATCATTTTTGTATTTTTAAAATTTTTTTGGGATCTCAGATTAAGCAGACTTAAGAACTAAATATTTAGAACTAAATATAAATACTTAATAGTTCTCGGGATGCACAGTAAACCTGAAGCAGAAGCAGCCAGCGGTCTGAAAGGTTAAAACTATATAAATAAATAAAATATATATATATATATATATATATATATATATATATATACACTCCTGATCAAAATCTTAAGACTAGAGTTGTCAAAAGTATTGATACTCAAAAAAGTATTGATACTGAAACATATCCGGATACAATACTCATTTTTAAAAGTATTGATACAGTGCCACCCAGAGATGGCAAAAGTACTCACTTTCCATATTTGAGTAAAAGTACAGATACTTATGTTAAAAAATACTCTGGTAAAAGTGGAAGTACTGATTAAACTTCTTTACTCAAGTCAAAGTAACAAAGTACAGGCTTGTAAATTTACTTAAAGTATATAAGTAAAAGTAGAAACCACTTTTTTCATGCCGTTGCCTACATTTTAAATGGATGTCTGCCAATAGAAATTCATTTTCAATCATCTAGTCGTCCATGCTACTATGCTAACGCCACCGCCACCAAGCTGCAATGATTTGCCGCGAATGAATACCGCCGAATCTGTCGATTCATCTTGTAGTGGTGCGTCAAATGCAACGTAGATTCCCATCCAATTAGATTGAATTTGGTATTGATGACGTGAAAAATAATAACGGTAACTCCATTGAAATGATTCAAAACTAAAGTAACGAGCCAATTTTTAAAAATGTAAGGAGTAGAAAGTACAGATATTTGTGTAAAAATGTAAGGAGTAGAAGTAAAAAGTCGCCATAAAAATAAGTAGTAAAGTAAAGTAAAAATATCAGAAAAATCTACTTGAGTACAGTAACGAAGTATTTGTACTTCGTTACTTCCCATCTCTGGTGCCACCACCAGTGGAACCTAAGCAGTCATTCATCTAAAGTGCAGAATAAAGGAAAATGCACTTTCAGAACACTGTGTGATTGAATAATTCTGTGCACTTTTCAGTTTCAGACTTTTTTTTGTAACAGGTGCAGCTGCTGAGAATTATTTTTATTTCTTAACCGGTTTGGCTAGTGTCATTGTTATGTGTGCAAAGCATAGCCAAGGAAGGAACACTTAATTTTAATTTTGTAAGTTTTTTACCAAGCTTGCTTAATATTGTGCACAGCAAACAACCTTAAAATATTCTTCTTATTGTTTATTGTATTTATTTATTATATTTTTATTATTAATGAAAATTTCTGTTGAATTTTGGAGTCTTTGTTTTTATCCTTGTGGTATCGAAAATGGTATCGAGTATCGAATATCGGCATCGAGGTGAAAAGTTTAGTATCGTGACAACCCTACTTAAGACCAGTCAAAAAAATCATGTTTGAGTGTAAATGCAGTCTTCAATTAATTCCCCACTCAAAAGTTTTTGTCTCTTACTCTGATTTCTTCTTTTAACATTGTGAAGCTCTTCTTAGAACCTTTTTTGATCCAATAGTGCAAAATGCAAATTCTTTAAATTTTGTCACTGGTCTTAAGATTTTGATCAGGAGTGTATATAACTTTTCCTCATCCGTAGCGGGTGGTCTTCCCCTCTTTTTCACCCAAGCTTGGCTCCTCTACCAGAGGCCTGGGGGGATGGAGGGTTCTTTGCAGTATCTTTGCTGTTCCTAGAACTGCACCTTTCTGGATGGAGATGTCTGATGTATTTCCATGGATCTGCTGTAACCACTCTTCAGGTTTAGGGGGTCACTGCCCTGATTGCCCCAATTGGTACCACTGCTGCCTTGCATTCCAGGTTTTCTGCAGCTCTTCTCTGAGCCCCTGGTATTTCTCTAGTTTCTCATGTTCTTATTTCCTGATGTTGCAGTCACTTGGTATTGCAATGTTATGTTTTTGTCCACCACCACAAAATCTGGTTAGTTTGCCATTCAGTGATCTATAAAAAGTGCTTTTTTTTTCGGTCTATTGTTTAGATTCTTATTTTTCTACAGTTTAGGAAACCTTGAAACTTGACCCTGGTTTACAACCATCAATCATTGCCTAAAAGTTTCCTTTTAACCTTTTTTCATGTTTCCATCTATCATTATCTCCATCTATTGATTCTCCATCACTACTTCATAATTATGACTGAAATGTATCAGTTTAGTGCTTTTTAAGTCTATTGTAAAGTTCTCTCTTGTCTTTTGGCTCCTCCTCTGAATCTCCTTAAATGAATCCAGTAGACATCAGATTTTCTCTTTAAACTCCTCAAGTAAAACTTCTTAATTTGTGTTTATATTAATCTGTAAACTTCGTTTTTTTTCCTTCTCTTTAAAGGTCATGATGCCGTCAATGCTCAAATTAAAACCCAATGAAAAAAGAAGTGGCTGAAATCAGACGGGCTTATAGGGAATATTTTTAACTGTTAGGCAGCGCTGAGAGTTCGTCTTAAAATTGGATTTGGTCTTAGAGAGAAAAGAGTCTCACAAGCGAGGATTAGAAAACCAGAGCAGCTACAGATATTGCTCAGTTGAAGAGTTATGCTGTTTGATAAAATGATCTTCGATGTTTTATTTTGTACAAGAAATATACATATTTAAGAGACAAACATTTTAAAAGTATAGTCCGATTTTATTATTTAATTGGCTTATGGCATTGAGGTAATTTTCCAGGCTGCACTGTTTTTGCCTAAATAACTTATATTAGATAATTAAATTAATTTTAATTTTAGAAACAAATAACCTGAGTAAATAAAAATCAAGTTTTAAAATAATAGTTTAATTTTTAAGAGGATAAAACGGTTATCCAAGCTCAGCTAGGATTGTAATTTTTCTGCTATCAACTGTATTTTATGGATTCTGTTTCAATTATTCCATCAATTACTGCCAAGCCTGCAGAGTCAAGTTTTTTTAAACGGGACCTGTCGGACAACATGAAGTAGACTTTTAGATATTACAAGGAAGTATAAACATGCCCCAATTAAAACTAATTTAAGATCATGAAAGAAACAAAGTCATTAACTATTCCTATATATGTTAAAAGTAAAAAATTGCTAATATTTCTAGTATGAATAAAAGCCAAATGGATTCTAAATCAATAGATTGTGAAGAGCAGTTAGTTTTTTGCTGTCGTGTGTCTGAGATGATTGATAGAAATCTCTCATGCACAGTGAAATGGTGAAATGCAAGTCAGAGTAAAGTAAACATAAAGGGTGAAGTCATAAAAATGAGGTCAGAGATGCAAATATTTGCTGAAATAAGAGGTTTTATTCGGATTTCATGGGTATGTATGTATATATTTTATCTTCTATTTCTATGAATCAAAGATGAATATTTCTGGTCCTGCAATAATTCCCAGAAATAGGTCAGTGGGAATTTAAATTCTGCCCAAACCCTCTGAGAAACTGATTTTTTTATGATGTTGAGCTTATAGATCCTTGTTTTGCTAAAGCAGTGGAGTTACATTATTAATCCAGTGACATTAATCCCGACTGGCGAGATTAATTAGTAGTTTAAATATTTATTCCATCAGTTGTCCTGTTCTGCATTGGTTTAAAGGGCTCTCATATGTCTCTCACTGGGAACAAATGTTAAAAATTCAGCCTGTCAATGTAAGCATGCAGAATCATTCCAGCAGGGAGATGGTTGGGGAACATTTATTTTCTAATCTTAACAGTTTATCTGTTTTATTGGCTCTTCCAAACTGTTCTCTGTGAAATAATCAAAGCTTGTTTTAAACAAAACTTCCTCCATCCATGCATTCATCTTCTTCCGCTTATCCGGGGTCGGGTCGCGGGGCCAGCAGCTTAAGAAGGGAGGCCCAGACTTCCCTCTCCTCAGCCACTTCTTCCAGCTCTTCAGGAGGAACCCCAAGGCGTTCCCAGGCCAGCCGAGAAACATAGTCTCTCTAGCGTGTACTGGGTCTTCCCCGGGGCCTCCCACCGGTGGTATGTGCCCGGAACACCTCACCAGGGAGGCGTCAAGGAGGCATCCTAACCAGATGCCCGAGCCACCTCAACTGGCTCCTCTCGACGTGGAGGAGCAGCGGCTCTATTCTGAGTCCCTCCCGGATGACCAAGCTTCTCACCCTATCTCTAAGGGAGAGCCCAGCCACCCTACGGAGGAAACCCATTTCGGCCGCTTGTATCCGCGATCTCATTCTTTCGGTCATGACCCAGAGTTCATGACCATAGATGAGGGTAGGAGCGTAGATCGACCGGTAAATCGAGAGCTTCGCTTCTTTTAAAGTTTTTTATAAGCTTTACTGTTTGACCTTGTCTTCTAACAAACCTCCAAAGTCAAAGCGGCTGACTTCGTCAAATACAGTACAATCCTGCTAAAACATAATCTTTTTTCTAAATGCTAGATTTTAATATGTTGAAAGTTATTAGGATATGAAAACCTTTGCTTCCTGTTTGTATTCGGATGTGTGTTTGCCATCCAGTGTCAACAGAAAATACTATATTTTATTGGGGGAGTGGTGGTTTAGTGGTTAGGGCATTGCGCCTGGAATCCAGAGGTTCTGAGTTCAAGCCCCACTCCCACAGACTGCCACTGAGCAAGACCCTTAACCCCCACACTGCTCCCCAGGCCCTGCACAGTGGCAGCCCACTGCTTCCCAAGGGAATTGGTTTAAATGCATACAGTTCATTTCGTTGTTTTGTACTTGTGACAGTGTAATGACAATAAAGTTGAATTCTATTCTATATTTTTCTTTTCGTTCTCACAGATCTGGAAGATTCGGCTGCAGTCAGAGATCTGGTGGCAAATGTTCTCTACCAGGATGCACAGACGTAGCATAGCGACACATTTTCTCTGTATTCTCTTCTCAATGTAAAAAAATATTGTAATAAAGAGTGTTTCTCTTGCTGTTGCTCTTGTTTCATGTGTGACACCTGCAGCAGGACCAGTCAAGCTGCTGCTGGTTGTAATCTCAGACCTCCACATTGCTGCTGTCATTGGTATTCTGTCTGCCCAGGTTGTTTCCTAACTAGACGGGGGCGGCGAGGGGATAAAAGCGTGAGGCACATTGCAGGAGAAACGCTTCCCTGTTCAGCCTGATGTTTTTACTAAAGTGAGGGAGATCAGAAAAGCCATGATGCTGCATTTAAATCAGCCCTGACAAGCTAGTGAAAAACAGGGTCCCTCCTCCTTTTCATCCTCTACAGAATGTTCTTTTATCTGGTGAAGTCTTGCAAATACATAAAGACCCACAGATATTACATCACAGCATATGTTATGTAATAAAGGAGGCAGCAAGACGGCGGTGTTGTTTTGTAGACGAGCAGCAGTGGAGGCTTCGCTGATTGGAAGGGCTGGGGGAATCACCCACTGTTCCTCTGGAGAGGATCCTATAACCACCTATGTTGGCTGCCTCTGTCCTATGAAAAATAAATGAGATGTTCTGGTTTAACTGAGGGAAGGTTCAGGTGTGCTGGGAGTCCACAGCCTCTCATCTCCCGTAGGTCTGCTCTTTAGAGAAATGTTTCCGCTCAATTGTTCTGCAAGCTTTACTTTTATAATTAGAATCCAAATTGTTATAATTTCACATTCATATTTGATTTCTGAGCATCCTGGATGATGTTGCACCAGTGCTGACTGTTTAGTTCTACCCTCTACCTTCTCCTCTGTTGTGAACAACATTACATCTAATTCTAAAGTTAATTGAAAGAGAAAAATCCTTATATAAATATAACCATACTAATGATTGCATTTTGCAGACATGTATGCTTAAAATAATTTATCGAATTACGTTTACAACTTTCTTGTGTTTATAGATTAGTTTTTATTATACCTTAAGATAAGGGCTTGATTTGTCTAAAAATTTGTCCTGAGATTTCCACTTGTTTAGACATTCTACCGATAGAAATTTTACATTCATTTTCTTTTTCTTAAAATAATAGTCTGGTTTTTCATTTCACATTGATTATCACACTTTTGCTCGCTATGAAAATAACACATTAAACAGCAGTTTTGTCATAAAAATGTGTTATCTTATTGTATCAAAATGAAAAGTCCAGTTTTACCAGAGCGGCGGTTTAATTATCTAATTGTCTCATGATCGTCATTGCCGTTCATTTGAATAAAGATAACAGTGCTGGTTTTGTAATGATCACAATTTAAGCATTTCACAACGTTGATCTATCAGATAATGCTTTGGATGATCTAATAGATTCAATTTTTTCTTGAAGTGGAGTATCGTTTTGTTCTAGTCAGTTCCTGCTTTTCATTTTCATCTCAAAATAACGTTAATAATTAAGTGCTTCAATTTCCATAGAAAACATTATCTTACTATATGGAAATATTACAGTTTAATTCACTAATGCTAAGATGTCAAAGCTTGTTTAAAACTGTTTAATTAACTTGAAATAATTAAAGCATTAGATTGTTAAGATAAAAATACTGCTGTCTCATCATGTTTCATTAATGTTTAATGCATCCATGTCTTCAGTTTATTCTCTATGCTGATGATACGACTTTGTTCTACTCTGGTGAAAATCAGTTAGATGAGGATGTGGTTGAAAAGGATTTACGAAGCATAAAAATTTAGTTGAACACGGATGAAATATAAAGGAATGTTGTGGAATTTAACTGTATATAAATCATCATTCTGATAGATATTGATGGTGCTGAGATTACAGATGTGAACGAGATTAATATTCTGGTTGTGACTCAGCTGGAAACCAAACATTAATGAAAGTTAAAACCATTTATAATAATTGAATTACTATATAAAGTGAACGACTCATGGAGAAATTAAGCTTTGTTTACATATAATCCTCTTTCTTATATAATCCTATTCTTGCTTTGTAATATCTGTTTAATTATTTAATTTCTCTCCATTTTGATTTTGTCCTATTAGTTAAATGAGGTTATTTAAAAGAAAATAAATGTTTTAAGTAAAATGATTTATTTTAGGATAATGGTGCTTGTTTTGTTGATTTCATTTTCTCTGGGCGATAGAACTCTTTCATTTTATTTACCTTAGAAAGCTTGTTTTGCTTTTAATTAATTCAGCTAATATTAACAGTTAAGAACTCCTATCCTCATGAGAAAAAAAGATTTTTGGCGTATATTTAGATTAAGTTTAGTTTTAGGTTTAGTATGTCACAATAGTACAGACAAGGATTAGGGCTACTGGGAAAAAAAAAATAAAAAAGTTAATTGATTTTCTATTATATTTGAGTTTAATATGGGAAAAAAAAAGTCAGAATTCTGCCTTTTTCTACGGAACAGCAATATGGCCACTGGAAAAAAAAGCTAACAATGTTTTTTTTTTTTCTGAGATTAAAGTCAGAGTTCTGAGGGAAAAAACTCCGAATTCTGAGATTAAAGTCAGAATTCAGACTTTTTTTTTCTCCCATATTATAAATATATTAAAAAGATGCGTTAACTTATTTAATTTTTTTCCAGTTGCCCTAACCGTCTTCCGTACAATAGTGATTGGTTTGATGAAAAAAAAACACATATGTTCAAACAGATGTAAGAGATTAGAATTAAGATTTTTTGTAGAAAGCAAAAACCATCATTCACTGGTTAAAAATTAACTAGTTGGTTGTATTTGTATTTTATTTAGTGGAGGACAGAAAGATAATGAAAAATTCCCATAAAAAAAATGGTTGTTGTATAGCTTCTTGTCAGTATTAAATATTTGATAATACTAAATGTTTGGATCCCTGAAGGATATGCATCTTTAGCACATGATTGACACCTATTGTAGATAAATGGATTTTATTAGGTTGCTATGATATTAGCATTTGCTGTTTTATCAGATCTTCTCGTTGTTCCCCTCAGCTGCCCTTATAAGTGGTGTGCATTTCTCCTTTGTGAGCTCACTGAGACTCGTATTTATGACCTTTAATGGTCATTCTGGGCCAGGCTGTTGTTTTTAATATAGAGACTCAGATGTGCTATACATGGCTTCATGTGCATGCTCTCCTGGCTCCATTCTGATCTCCTAGTCAAAATGTCAGTTTAGTATGCAGAGACCTCTCCAGCTTGCAGGGATAAATCCTGTGAGACTTTGACTTTTGCTCTATTATTTTCCCCAGACATGTTTTAATATGAAATATGTTTCATACATTTGTCTCTTACTGTGACAGGACCACACCAGGGCACAGGCCGTGTCAATATAGCTGGCCTCATGGTTGCACTGCCGCTGATTTGAGGGTATTTAACAAAGTACAAGATAAGCAGCGCTAGCCCTTTAAAAAAGAGGTATTTAAATTGACTAGTTTGCATTTTCTCATTCAGTATAGGTTCCTTTTTTTTGGCTGCATCTTTTGTTTCTAGGATAAGAGGCAGATACTTAGATTTGAAAGCTTAAACCTTTCCTGATTTTTATTGAAGCTTCTGAAGCAAAGTTTTTAGTATCTTCTTAGGAAGCCATGTTGTTTTGAATTTTCGGTCTTTTAGGAACTATAGACATTTTTAAACTTGCTAAAAAAAAAAAAAAAGATTGTTTATATCATGCCACAAACCCCTTGTAAAACTATTAGTGAATTAAGCTCAAGTTATTTCTATTTTTTAATCATTTAAAATTTATGGTTGTTTTATTGTTTTGTTTCAGGGGTTTTATGTCTAAGTTATCTCACGAAATAATTACGAAAGATTTAAAAATTGCTCAACTGCTAGAAGCCATTTGCTTACTTAGGTTCGTCCTAGCTTCCTGCGGGTGCTTCTCCTGACTCTTTAATCTATGAGTAAAAAATAAATAAAAAACAGACACTGAAATTACTTAAGTTTAGACTTACTTTTATGTTACTTTGATACATTTTTCGTCAATTCAATTCAGTTATTTATGTAGTGCTAATTCACAACATGTGTCAGCTCTAGACACTTTACAGAAACAATTCAACCAGATCACAACGTCAAATTGATTCAAAGTTTTCTATCTAAGGAAAACCAGCTGATTGCATCGACTCATTGACTCAAAGGCAATCCTTCACACTAAGCATGCTTGTAACGACAGTGGAGAGGAAAAACTCCCTTTTACTGGAAGAAACCTCCAGCAGAACCAGGCTCAGTGTGAGCGGCCATCTGCTGAGGCCGACTGGGGTTCAAGGAGACAGAAGCAGGGATACAAAAATCAACTGTAAAAGGCGTCCCTGTCCAGGAAACACACAGCCAGGCAGACGAGCTCCGAGTCAGCTCCCATGCCAGAGGATGAAAGAGAGCAGATCAACTTAGTCACAGTCAGAGAAACAGAACTACACTGAAAAACAGGCCAAGCTTGAACATCTATAAAGAAAGGTATTGAAGGCATTGAAGGTATTGAAGCACAGCTGATATTTCTCTGTCTGTCTCAGCCAAACAGGAACAGACCAGATGAAGCTACTATGAGAAAAAGCATAGTGTTAGAGATTCTGCAGGACCCGGTGCATTTATTACCCATTTATGAAAGGTATATAAATATATATATATATACATATAGTTTTAGCTAGATTGAAGTCATACCAGGAAGCACGTCCACAAGATTGAACTGCCGCCACCATGCTAAGCTAAGGCTTTAAACATAAAGAAATAAACCTGACATCAAGCTGCGAGGAGTAACATTTCCTTAAATGCAGCCAATGTTGCATTTTTTTTTTTTTTTTTTTTACAGTATTTTTACACAATGTACTGTGCTTTATTGTCTTTTGGTGTGTTTTTTAAACATTTGTGTGTAAACTTCTACTGGTACATGTGCCATTTGCAGAGTCCTGCGCAACCCCCTGAAGCATGATTACAAATATGGCCAGAAATTTTAAGGCCTGTCTGGTCAGGGTGCTCTCTTAATCTTTATTTTGAATAGCTTATCGAGGATCTCTCTCACACTTGAACTGTATGTTCCAGAACCTGCTGCCTCCCCACAGAAGGCCTATCTGATCG